CCTAACATCCACCCGTTTAAGATAGAACCATCAGTAAATCAAATATCAAGGCATAAAACTTCCCACATAACTAAAACAAAATTTACTTGCTCGTAGGTACACTGCAATACATACATACGATCCAAATAAGTCTAACTATCCACCCGTCTAAAACTTCCGAACATTACTAATAACAAAATTTTACTGGCTCGTAGTCGTAGGTACACCACATACATCAATAGAATCCAAACATCCTATTAGCTTGGCAGGAAAGCAAAACCGGACACATGCCAAATTCATGCCGCATTATATATTGGAATGTATCTGCATTATGTATATTTAACAGATTTTCCATTTTACTTCATTCGTAATTGAAAGTAGAGGGAATCCAAGCCATCGACGGGAAATAGCCAAAAAAAAAAAAAAAAAAAAAAAAAAACTTAGAACCAATATAATTCTGTGAATTTCTGTTAAATTCACATTATAATGGCAAGACAAGCATAATGTAATATAAAGGAGTAAGAACTAAATGAAGCTAGCAAGATAAAGATAATTCATACTATAATAAGAAGAATCAGTTGCGAATTCCCAGATCAACTAGTCTATGTATATGTACACATAAAATTCCAAGCACGTAGGTGAAAAAGAGGAAGCTTACTCGGGCAGGGGAGGGGCAGGGGCAGGAGTCAGTGAGTGAAGCAGGGCGATGAAGTGGTGAGTGAGGGACATCAGCAAGATGGATGACTGGGAGAAGTTTCTACAGAGATTGAGACAAGAGCTTCGTTGAGTTGAACGAATCACGAGACGGCGATAGCAACGTGAATTGAAAGAGGCCGGGGAGTGAAGGAGAACTTTGAGGCTTAGACAGCACCGTTTTGAATTCTGATGCAAAGAAGAGCGCATTGTGGTTGGTTTAAGATCGAGGGAAAGAAGACGCCATTGAAAGGCCAGGACACTTGTTTTCACCGTATCGAGCAACTGGGAGTTAGATAGGGATTTGGAGGAGCTAAGCTCAGCCGTATTCTGAAAAGCACCCGTTTATGATTTACCTAAAACGCAGCGTTTTATGATGTTATCCCGTGTATTATAAGTCAACCGCAATTTATCATGTGAGACTCAGGTGGAACCTATTATGAACTAACCAATTATAAGCTGTTATGTCAGGATTGTGAGAAGAAGTTTGTGATAAAGGTTAGGGGTGTAGCATTTTCTTTTATTACAATATTCAACTGAAAAGAAAGAAGTTTTATGGTCCTTTCGACTTTACTTTCTTAATATTTGTTTCTTTAATTTATTACACTTATACCACTAAGATATAACATGGTATCAGCACGAAGAGCTTAACAAGTATAATGGTGCAGTCTACTGAAAGTACGTATTTTCAACCTTGTACATGTTATTTGATCCCTGTTTTCTGCCTTTATGGCTAAATTTATTTATTATCATTAAATTTTGCGTATTTTCAATCCTACATGTGTTATTTAATCTCTATTTCCACCTTATGGTTGGATTTCTTATATTATTAAATTTTACCTTTGATCGGATTTTATTATTTATTATTAATTCTGCCTCTTGGTCAGATTATTTATATTATTTAATCACCTCTATGATCGGATATACTTATATTGCTAAATTTTGTCTTTATGGTTTGATCTATTTATATGTCAAATTCCGCCTCTATGGTCGGATCTATTTATTATGCTAAATATCTTTATGACTAGATTTATTTTTATTGTTAATACCACCTTCATGGCTGATCTATTTATATTGTTAAATACGGCTTTCATGGATGAATTATTTATAATTGTCATTCTATTTATCGATTCTTTACAATTATTTATAAGCGGTGAATATCCCAGGGAGTGTGTTGAAATTGACCATCACGCCTTAACATGAGGCGGTGAAAAGAGGGATTTTAGTGGTTCTTTAATAATAACTCCAGAAAGGTAAAGTAAATAATAGGACTAAAGTGAGAGAATTGAGAGCTGTGAGTAAGTTTACTTTCTCAAACTTTTTGGATTCAACTGGATTCATCAAATGAGAGGGGTGGGAGGTTATTTATAGCCCCCCCTCCCCAACCTCACTTTTCATAGGGGTGTTCGGTTCGGGGACCCTACATTTTTGGAAGGAACCGGAATCAGAACCGACGATTCCTTGACTTCGGAACCGGAACCGGAACGATGGTTCCGGTTCCTTGAATTTGGAATCGAAATCGGAACCCCGGTTCTGGGTACCCTGTAAAATTCATTATCCCCCCCAAGTTTTTAAAATAACAAAAAAACTCTTAAAAACTTACAAATACCCCCACTTTCACTAGGGAGCATGCATAGCAAAAGAAAGCAAGTATTGGTTCCTTTTATTCAGATTGTGATTCTGGGCTTGTAAAATGGCTACCAGAGCAATGGACCACTACACAGAATCCAAAGTTGAAGGCACATGGGTTGGTAAAAAACATTTACAACTGCACTATCCAGCGCGATCTTACTTCATAAACGCACTCATTTGTTTCCGACAATTATTGCAGCTACTTGCCCTGAGTTTTTGATGCATGGGATAGTAGATGAAAAAACTGATGTCATTGCCTTTGGTGTATTGCTATTGGAACTAGTCACCGGACGCCGAGCTCTGTGATTACTCTCAACAAAGCATTGTCTTGTTATAGCAAATTGGATGATGGTTGGAAGGATCATATCTTGCTGAGGAAGAATGAAGTTAAAGAGCTAGTTGATCTTCTATGGGTGATGAGTCGATTTCAGGGAGATGGATCTTGTGTTGGTGGCGGCTTAATATGCATACAATAGTCTTCGATTCGGTTGCCTCAAATGAGTCAGTAACAAACTGAGTAGTAACATAGGGGGGAGTACAAACAAAAACCATTGTAAGGAAGAAGATAATAAAATTGATTCCATCTGCTTCAATACATGACTTTGCAGGTTGTGCAACTTCTGAATGGAAATCTTTGCTGCTTGAAATTCATGAAAAAATGTCGATCACCATTGGTAAGAAGAACTCTCCACCAAGAGCTATCAAATGTAGAAGATTACAACTCAACTAAAATGAATAGCTTTATTCAGAATCGAAATTGACGTTTTGTGGATTAATAGTAGTGACATGTCTTACTCCAAATGCATCTTAATACATAAATACTTGATGCTAGAGGACAACTACGAGTAGCGTACAAAAATATAGAAGAAAAAAAAAGGTGAAGTTTTACCTTAATCTGAAGTGAATGGACAGAGAGTAGCAAGAGCAGATGAAGATCGTGTGAAGGGAAGAAAGAAAATGAGTTTTTTTTGCCCTAATCTGAAGTATTTATATGTGGCAGGTAAATTACAATAACCCCCCCACTCTTTAATAATATTTTTTTAGTCCTGGTTCTCGGTTCCGGTTCTTGACTGTAGGAAATGGAACCGGAATCGTAAAGTATCGGTTCCAGATTTTGGAACCGAAACCTACCCGTTGACGATCAGTTCTGAGTAGGAACCAAAACCAAACACCAGGTACCCAATGATTCTTTTGAACACCCCTACTTTTCACCACTTTTCACCGCCTCATGTTAAGGAGGTAGATGGCCAATTACAATACTCCCCCTTGGACATCCATCGCTTATAGATAATTATAAAAGAATTGATAAATAAAATGACAATTATAAATAGATCTGTCCATGAAGACGGTATTTAGCAATAATAAATAGATCCAGCCATGAAGGCAACATTTAACAATAATAAATAGATCTAGCCATGAAGACGGTATTTAGCAATGATAGACCATAGAGGTGGAGTTTGACAATAATAAATAGATCCAACAATAAATGCGAAATTTAGTAGTAATAAGTATATCCGACCATAGAGGTGAAATTTAACAATAATAAAAAAATCCAACCATAGAAGTGAAATTTAACAATAATAAATAAATCTGATCATGGAGACGAAATTTAATAAAAATGAATAAATTCGACTATAAAGGCGAAAATAGAGATTAAAGAACACATGTATGATTGAAAATACGAGGAATTCAATGATAATAAATAAATGCAGCCATAAAGGCTGAAATAGGGATTAAATAATATTTGTAGGGTTGAAAATAAATACTTTCAGTGGTCAAACACCGTTACATTAAAGAAGACAATGCAACATGTATTGCTCAAGTTAGAGGAGGATATATCAAAATAGACAAAACCAAACATATTTCACCGAAGTTCTTTTATATTCGCAAACTCCAGCAAAATCGAGAGATTGATGTCAAACAAATACACTCTAGTGATAATCTTGTAGATTTATTCACTAAGGCTTTACGGACATCAACATTTGAAAAGTTAGTGAATAACATTGCAATTACTAAATTAATTCTACCATTATGAGGGGAAACATTGACCAAGAAGAGCACCGATTAGGAGAAGTTTTTAGAAAAGTTCATTGTACCGGACATATGTGCACTATATTCTTTTTTCCTTGATCAGGTTTTGTCCCACTGGGTTTTCCTAATAAGATTTTTAATGAGACAGTATAAAACACATTCAATTTCACGTTATAGTAGAGTTGTACTTCTTTATTTAAGTTTTTTTTTTTTTTTCCCACTGAGTTTTTCTTCAGTAAGGTTAAATACAATTATCTGTAAACGGTGGATGTCTAAGAGGGAGTGTTGTGTGAATAGGGGGAGGGGGCGTCGGCTATAAGTTCATCCAATTTCATGTTATAGTAGAGTTGTACTTCTTTACTTAAATTTTTTTTTTCCATTAGGTTTTTCTTCAGTGGGATTAAATACAATTATCGTACCGTAAACGGTCGATGTCTAAGAGGGAGTGTTTTTAACATTTTGTCCTCCTTAATCTATTACACTTATACCAATAGGATTATTCCAGAATTTTCTATTACGCAACGCAACCAATCGTGAAGTAGGATTGTAGTCGATCTTTATCCATACCACGTTTTACTCAAAAAGATTCGTTACATAAGCTAAAACGCAGCGTTGAAGCTCAAAATCCGTCCAAGTAGAGGGTATTCTGGTCATTGGGAGTGGTACTTAACAGTTTCTATAACCACCATTTCCGAATTCTCTTTGTCAGACAAGAAACACGATGATGGAGAAGTGGAGAATTACCCAACGTCTCCTTAGACATTCATCGAAACTGCTCTTTGATCGTCCATTAAACCGTAGTGCTTCTCATATTTCAGCTTTCCGCTTTGCTTCAGGTATCGTCATTTAATATTAGTTACAATTATTTTTATTAATTATCATTTCTGAATTTAGCCTTCGTTACAAACTGTAGTTCACAGAGAAACTTTTGTAGAAACAGGTCTTGGGAGTGCAAGCTCAATAAAGTACAGACGTTTTGGTTCAGCCGCTACTGAAATTCAGCGAAACACATCGTTTTCGACATTGAATGTGGATGATATAAGCTATTTCAAAGAAATATTAGGTGAAAAAAATGTCATTCAGGATAAAGATGTGTTGCTCAATGCGAATACAGATTGGATGAGAAAATACAAAGGGTCTAGTAAGCTCCTGCTCCAACCAAAAACCACTAATGAGGTACAGTAAGTTGACTTTTGAGTTTGAGATGATGTTTGCTAATTGCTATTGAGATTTGGTTCAAAATCAAGGGTTTTGATGCATCGTTTTGTCATTTTACTTTTGCAGGTATCTCAGATTCTTAAGTACTGTAATTCCAGGCGCTTGGCTGTTGTTCCCCAGGGTGGAAATACTGGTCTAGTAGGTGGAAGTGTTCCTGTTTTTGACGAGGTTAAGTCTTGTCATGTTACCAATTAGTTTCTTTTCCGGCTGATTTTATTGGTTAGCAAGTGCATTGTTTTTGCCTTAATGGTGGAATTGGTTCAGTTACTTATTATGAAATATTTGGCTCTATATCATGGTTGAAAATGCACACACCGACTCACATGTATAGATTTGCTTGGGAAGCAATAGACTGGTCTGAACTCAACCTCAAGCTTAACATTCAAGTTCAACGACAATTAAATTCAATCTGAGCATGCCTAGGTTGCCCAAAAAATCTGGACTGAATAAGATGAGCTCAGGTTAGTCCAACATAATTCAAACATTGATCTATGATAATGTACATGTAGATGCTTACTTGAGCATATCAGTATCTAAATGATCTGATGATCCATGCTTTCAAAATAAGACCATAGATAATTTAGAAATTATAGAAATTTTTTGTTATAATCTATCGTCTTTGTAATTTCTTCTTCATTTAATTCTTCAGGTGATCATCAATGTTGGTTCAATGAATAACATCATGGCTTTTGACAAGGTATTTATTCTAACCATTATGTTGTAACATTTCCAAATTTCCCTTTTTCCTTTCATGAATGCTCATGTAATAGACCTTTTTTTCCAATTTTTTTTTTTTTTTTCCTTTTGAGTTTTGCTATTGATTCGTTGAGTGATGTTTTGTTTGAGTTGTATTTGAATTTCTTTCCTGTACTGATTTTTGTTGGCAAGGATTTTATTTTATGTTTATTCAAGTTGCAATAGCAGAACTCTGCACTTTGATTGGTAGTAACAATTTTATGCTTTCTTTTAGGTCAGTGGTACACTGGTATGTGAAGCGGGATGCATTTTGGAGAATCTGGTTTCTTTCCTAGATGACCAAGGGTAAATTTATACTCAGTTATACTTCCCCTTTCTCCTACCAGAAAACACAGGAACATTTATCAAAAAGTACACCGAAATTTGATTAATACTGCAAATTTATGATAGAAACTCTGTGTCACTGTAAAAGGACCATGAACATACCTTAATTTGTTGAGAAATGTGATATTGTTTTTCCTGCTTTGTTTCAGTTTTATGTGGCCATTCATCTTTAGTAGAGTTTTGGTCTATATTTGGTAATATATGTTATTGACTATTGTTATATTAATGCTTCCTTCCAGATTTATTATGCCTCTGGACTTAGGTGCAAAAGGAAGCTGCCAAATTGGAGGAAATGTTTCAACTAATGCTGGTGGTTTGCGCCTTGTCCGTTATGGTTCACTACATGGAAGTGTACTTGGTGAGGATCTTTGTCATATATGAAAGATTAATGATTAATGAAGTGGACACTTATTTTTTTCAATTGAACGTACTAACTTAAGTTTTTATTTCTATATATTCTTACATCTCTAAAAAGCAATTGAGTCTCTCTCTCTCTCTCTCTCTCTCTCTCTCTCTCTCTCTTTTTTCTTTCCATAAACTTGTTTATCTTGACTCATATCACAGGTCTTGAAGTTGTTTTAGCGAATGGTGATGTGCTTGACATGCTTGGGACTTTACGTAAAGATAATACTGGGTACGACTTAAAGCATTTATTCATTGGTATGTGCTTACTTTACGTTATATGCTCATTTGTGTCACAAGTATAATTTTCAGTGGGGGTCCAATTTCTTGCATTGTTCTATCCTTGATTTAGGAAGTGAAGGATCATTGGGCATTGTAACCAAAGTTTCCATACTTACCCCTTTGAAGCTATCTTCAGTAAATTTGGCTTTTCTTGCATGCAAAGATTATTTCAGCTGCCAGGTATGATGAGTTTCATTTCCCTTAAAATTTCACACTGTCAGCATATAGTTTTACCAAATGAACCTTCATCAAGTAATAATTTGTGTTATTATTTTTATCATTTTCTTGTTCATATCATTTCTTGAGTTTGTTTGTGAATGGTCTGGTGGTTGTACTTTATGTTTAATTTGATGAGTTCAAAATTTTACATGTGTTTGATTTCTATGCTGCTTTACATTTGAGGTTTTTGTATTGCTTACTTCATGCATTACACCCCAATCTGTTTCTTAACCCTATGTTTATAAAGTATAAAATTGCACCTTTTTTACTTTGATTTATCTTATATTGGGGGATAAATGTTTTTATTAATATCAAACTAGAGATTTGTCTTTATAACTTCCTTTTTAGTTTTTGCTCCCTTCATTTCTCAGAAGAGTTGTCAATATTGACTCCTTACCTTGATTTTTATTGTTTATTAGAAACTTCTACTTGAAGCAAAGAGTAAACTCGGGGAGATTCTATCTGCATTTGAATTTTTGGATAACCAGGCAATGGATTTGGTAAGATATTTTTGGTAGATTATATTCCCTTATTTTTGTTTGTCGACATCACGAATAACTTAGCGACTTCTTTTACAGCTAAAGTTTAAACATGTCATCTATTAACTTTGGTGCCATACTTTTCTTATCAAATATGTTGTAATCATTGAATAAGGAATAAATGAACTTTAGTATGACTTAAATGTTTTCCTAATTTCTTAACCTTGTGAATAAACAGAACAAAACAATCCTTCATGTAACGTTTGTCTAATCACAGCATCTTTAGACCTATTATTCACAGCACTAAGTGGAGAGTATATAATACATTAAAAGACCACCTGGACTTTCTGGTTAATTTTTCTTTGATGGTCAACTCAAATGCACTTCTGATGAATATGTTCCTGATGTTTATATGAGATGTTTGACTTTGAGATGCAACACTATAATTAAAGTTGGGTTTTCTGCCTGTGTATTTTACATGTAATCTATGATGTCATTCTTCTTGATAGGCTGGAAAAGTTGAAAGTATATGTGTTTCCTCATGTGCTCAAAGAATTATCTTTCCAACAATTACCTTGCTATATGTTCTTTTAGAAATTAAGTGGATGCATGTATTTATGTTTATCTTCTGTTTTATTTTTGGAAACTTACTTTATTCTTATGTGTCAGGTTTTAAACCATCTGGAAGGTGCCCGGAATCCGTTACATTCTTCAATGCACAACTTTTATGTTTTGATTGAGACAACAGGCAGTAACGAATCTTATGATAGGTAAACCACTTTTCCAGTGTGTCATTGTTTATTGATGTTTTAATTACACTTTTGTGATTAATTCTCTGGATAATCATCTGAGTTTTAAATCTTGATTGCTGACCCAAGAGGATAGTTATCATCATGTTGTATTTTTCTTGTCTTCCTGACAGTTTACCTCTACTACAAAAGACGAGAAAAATTTCCATTATCTCTCTGCATACTTAGAGTGAACACATTTTGAAACTAGGATTTTTCCTTGAATAGAGCCTCTTTAGACATTTTGTTTTTGGTTATTCTCTCATTTGACACCATCTTTTAATTTTTCTTGACCATTTTATGTATGCAAATATTGTCCTTGGTTCATCTTCCTTTATATGATCAAGTGATGATGTGGATCCATTCTTTTATGTAGTTTTTTATTTTATTTTTGTTAACCCTCATCATTATCCATCATCTTTACATGCTAAGATTCATCAATATACTATGGATGTCTGCAGAGAGAAGATTGAAGCTTTCCTACTTCGTTCGATGGAGGATGGATTGATTTCTGATGGTGTTCTTGCACAAGACATAAATCAAGCATCTTCATTTTGGAGAATACGTGAGGTTCCCATTTTTAACTCCTTTTTTTTTTCTTTTTTCGTTTTTTGTGGATGGAAATCTTTATGTGGATAACTATTGGGAACATATCTCTTTGGGCTTTTACTTTATATCATGAATGAGTATCACATAGTGAGCATTTGTTTTAAATTGGGCATTCATCTTACCACAATGACACTTCTATTTTTATGNGCAATGGATTTGGTAAGATATTTTTGGTAGATTATATTCCCTTATTTTTGTTTGTCGACATCACGAATAACTTAGCGACTTCTTTTACAGCTAAAGTTTAAACATGTCATCTATTAACTTTGGTGCCATACTTTTCTTATCAAATATGTTGTAATCATTGAATAAGGAATAAATGAACTTTAGTATGACTTAAATGTTTTCCTAATTTCTTAACCTTGTGAATAAACAGAACAAAACAATCCTTCATGTAACGTTTGTCTAATCACAGCATCTTTAGACCTATTATTCACAGCACTAAGTGGAGAGTATATAATACATTAAAAGACCACCTGGACTTTCTGGTTAATTTTTCTTTGATGGTCAACTCAAATGCACTTCTGATGAATATGTTCCTGATGTTTATATGAGATGTTTGACTTTGAGATGCAACACTATAATTAAAGTTGGGTTTTCTGCCTGTGTATTTTACATGTAATCTATGATGTCATTCTTCTTGATAGGCTGGAAAAGTTGAAAGTATATGTGTTTCCTCATGTGCTCAAAGAATTATCTTTCCAACAATTACCTTGCTATATGTTCTTTTAGAAATTAAGTGGATGCATGTATTTATGTTTATCTTCTGTTTTATTTTTGGAAACTTACTTTATTCTTATGTGTCAGGTTTTAAACCATCTGGAAGGTGCCCGGAATCCGTTACATTCTTCAATGCACAACTTTTATGTTTTGATTGAGACAACAGGCAGTAACGAATCTTATGATAGGTAAACCACTTTTCCAGTGTGTCATTGTTTATTGATGTTTTAATTACACTTTTGTGATTAATTCTCTGGATAATCATCTGAGTTTTAAATCTTGATTGCTGACCCAAGAGGATAGTTATCATCATGTTGTATTTTTCTTGTCTTCCTGACAGTTTACCTCTACTACAAAAGACGAGAAAAATTTCCATTATCTCTCTGCATACTTAGAGTGAACACATTTTGAAACTAGGATTTTTCCTTGAATAGAGCCTCTTTAGACATTTTGTTTTTGGTTATTCTCTCATTTGACACCATCTTTTAATTTTTCTTGACCATTTTATGTATGCAAATATTGTCCTTGGTTCATCTTCCTTTATATGATCAAGTGATGATGTGGATCCATTCTTTTATGTAGTTTTTTATTTTATTTTTGTTAACCCTCATCATTATCCATCATCTTTACATGCTAAGATTCATCAATATACTATGGATGTCTGCAGAGAGAAGATTGAAGCTTTCCTACTTCGTTCGATGGAGGATGGATTGATTTCTGATGGTGTTCTTGCACAAGACATAAATCAAGCATCTTCATTTTGGAGAATACGTGAGGTTCCCATTTTTAACTCCTTTTTTTTTTCTTTTTTCGTTTTTTGTGGATGGAAATCTTTATGTGGATAACTATTGGGAACATATCTCTTTGGGCTTTTACTTCATATCATGAATGAGTATCACATAGTGAGCATTTGTTTTAAATTGGGCATTCATCTTACCACAATGACACTTCTATTTTTATGGATCTCCCTGATGCAACAAGTCCAATTTTTTTGATTAATTGTGATTGAGTCAACAAAAACATCTGTTATTTGGGGAAGCTCTCACCCATGAACTCCTTTCTATCTGTTTCTGTTCTGTCTATCTCTTCTTCTTTATATCTCTCTCTTTTTTTTTCCCATTAATTTATTATTATCATCCTCTTGTTTATCATATTATCAATAAGACGTCAGTTTTGTTTTGATATTATGCCTATCCATGTGGTACCATCAAGTCTAATAACATGATTCATTATTGTTCCAATGATTGATTGATCTCTATTTGTTAGGATAGCATTCAGATGACTTATTATTTTTTATTGTTATCACTGATGTTCCTACAACTTTTATCACTGATGCTCCTATATGCACCATTTTCACCACTGTCTTTTCTTCTTTTTCTAGCTGAAGTTACTTGCAGTTTTTTTGCTTTGGATTTGTTCTTTTCTCACTTGGCAATATCATTTAATCTGATTTAGGAATTACATGAAAAGAAAAAATATCATCCTTTCTTTACAAATTTATTTGATCACAGGGTGTACCAGAAGCATTGATGAAAGCAGGGGCTGTTTACAAATATGATTTGTCATTACCTGTTGAAAAGATGTATGATCTTGTTGAGGAAATGCGATTAAGACTTGGTAGGCGAGCTTATAACTTTATACGTTTGGAATCTCATTTTTTGTCTCAGTATCTTGGCAAGACAAGCCGAGCACCCTTCGGTAGTTGGATGTGAACTTGCAATATCCTTATGGAATCATAACAACCATGACACATGCCTCAAGTTGTTAGGAAATGCCTATTTAACTTTCATGTTTCCAGCACTACATTCTTGGAATGTCTTACATATTGAATTACAACTGTATTAGTAGTGGTATCAGAATCTTGCATAAATCTAGAGCCAAAAGCCACTTCTTAAGTCTGTTTTTTGATTTTTTTTAGGTCAGACAGCCAAAGTAATAGGTTATGGTCACCTTGGTGATGGTAATTTGCATCTTAATATTTCAGCACCACAGTACAATGATGCGGTAATTTCCTATCTGCTACATCAAAGATCTGTTTATATGTCATGTATTACTTGTGTTATTATTTATTTCTGGTAAATGACGTTGCAGATTTTTGCACAAATTGAACCTTATGTATATGAATGGACATCAAAGCATCGTGGGAGTATTAGTGCAGAGCATGGTCTGGGACTTATGAAAGCCAATAAGATTTTCTATAGCAAATCACCTGAAAGCGTGAGTTCTTTCTTCCACCCCTCTCCTTTCTTCTCCTCCCACCTCAACTCTTTATTTGGAATTGTAAAGCATTATTTTTGCTTTATTGTTCTATCTAGTTGCTTATATTCAGAAAGTTAGTGTTGCCTAAAACAAAGAATTTGTTTGGATAGGTGCAAGTGATGGGCTCGATCAAAAAGTTGCTGGATCCAAATGGGATACTCAATCCGTATAAAGTTCTTCCTTACTTGCTCAGTTCCTACCACTGAGGTTAGAGCTTCATTTGAACTGATTTTCTCATTTTGGACATTCATTTTAGTCCTTCATGAAGAATGATCCTGTTATTGTTCAGTGTCTAGAATGTGTGTTGGGGAAGAAGGCCTGTGATTGGTGGTCACACAGCAAAGGGGCCTTGGGGTTTTCAAAGGGAATAATTTACCAAGTTTAATCTGTAAACAAGGATACAAACATTTGATTTCCTAAAAGGAATTGAATGTAAATAAATAAATAAGGTAGAAACATGCAATGGAGATGGAGATGTAACCCCTTCCATCAATCCATGCATCTAATAAAGTTACAATCATGTGTTACTTTCTTTGACATTCAAGTCAATGCAATCAGAAGCTGCATAAAATGATCTACGTTACAATGATTCCAAATTACAGATATTAGGGCCCAAGGATAGGGTAGGAATTCTTTTTTTTTCTTCATTTGAAGACAGCCCAGTTCAATAGCAAGATACTAGATCCCCGCCCTTCTTTTTTTCATGTTCCTTGCTTTCATTTGCCCTTACAGAATATTTCTGGCGCCCCAATAGTTGCGGATCTGAACGTCAATCACAATCAACTCACTTATTATCCTTAGAAGAAAAAGTATCTCTTTTTTTTTTTTTTTTTTTTTTTTTTTTCCCCTATAAATACAATCAAGAGACTTCCTTAAGTAGATTTTTTCCCATACCATTTTCTTATTGTGAGAGCATCATATATTATGGTAGAAGGATTTGACTTATTTAAGTGAAAACCTGGACCTAGGGGTGAAAACCGAGCCGAGTCGATCGAGGTCGGCTCAGCTTTGGCTTGAATTCTACTCCACATTAGTTAGCGCTGTAAACGAGCCGAGCCGAGCCGAGTCGAGTCGAGTTTTCGACTTATCGAGCTTGGCTCATTTGCTACAGGATCGAGCTCAAGTTCGAGCTCGAGCCTGTCGAGTCAGAGAAAAGGGATTTGAACTCGAGCTCGATTCGACTCGATCGACTTGACCAGGATTCCCACACTTGTTCCTTCCAGCACTTTACACGATGAATATCATTGAAACTTTTTCCATTTTTAATAATTTTTTTTTTTTTCTCTCTTTGAACGTTTGCCATTTTACACATACAAGGAAAGGAGAATTTTTTTTTCCTTTGCAGCTTTTTCTAGACATGGAAGATCCATCGCTCTCAGTACCCACACTACCACTCAGGTCTTCATCATCTGCAAATCTTTATCTTTATCTTCATCCTTTTCTTCATTTTTATCTCCATCATCTTCATCTTCATCTTCATTTTCGTCTCCATCTTATCTTCATCTTGTAGAACATCACGATTTACGCTGCTTCCATCTCCATCTTCATCTTCGTCTTCGTCTTCTTCCTCAACACAACCTTATTTTGATTTTTGATTATGAAAATTTGCAAGAACAAATTTAGGGGTTAGGGTTTGTCGATTTGGGAAATCTGATTTGGGGTTTAATTTTGTGTTTTAGAACTAATTATATTGGGGGGTTAAATGTCGTTTTTACAAATTTTTAAAACTAAAGAATAAAGATACAGTTTATAAACTATAACAAATAGAACCCTACTTAGCTGAGCCAAATCAGGCTCGCGAGCCTACGAGCCAAGCCTCCCCATGTTCGAACTTGGCTCGTTTTATGCTGCAAGCTTGAGCCGACTTGACTCGGCTAATCACGAGCTGAGTCATAAACGAGCTTCAGACGAGCTTAGCCAAGCCGACTCGCGAGCCGTTGAGCTTGTCTGACAACCCTAGCATTAGTCGAGTCGAGTTCGAGTAGCTTAAATAATTCTACGAGTGGAGTTCGATCACTATACAAAAAACTCGAAAAGCTCGATTAAGCTCAACTAAAACTCGAATTCGACTTTTAGATACGGAGTTTTGAGTTCAAACTCGATTCGTCAAGCTTGACCAGACTTGAACTCGAACTCAATACTGTAGCAACCAAGTCGAGTTCGAGTAGTCTAGATACTTGACTTGATTTCACCCCCTACCTGGACCTGGATCATTGTGGCCCCTATAATTTATTTTACTTGCCTGGGTATTTTACGGACCAAGGTACTGAAAAACAACCGTAAAACATTAAATAAAAGTAGGACATAAACAATTCTTAAGGAATATATACTTGTAGTCCAATTCCTAAATGTTGTTTTATCGAATATTGTTATATCCCAATTTGTCAACGTTTTTTCTTTTCTTTTCTTGCTTTGGTGTCTATTCTAATCATCCATTTGTAAATCGTGGATTGATGTTTCTTTATTAAAGGACAACTTGTGGAGAACATTCCCAATAATCACGGCTGGAATATGCTACTCCTGATTGTCTATAGCCATTGCTTTTTAAAATGGAGAATAACCTAGGGAGTAGGGAACAAGCCGAAAGAGCCACCATATCCTCCCCATCTTAAACTATTAATTATTGTCAAATATTATCCTTATGACTAGACGAAAATAAAAATATTATAGAAACCAAAGTAACAAGTAACGTAGGAGGCGTCTCCCAGCCCTAATCCCCCATGTTCATTCTTTTTTGACTGGTAACATTTGATAATGTTTCCTATAAGAAAGACTTTGTAATATTTTCTACACAGATCATTGAAATCTTAAAAGGGAGCTTTAGAAATGTTATGGTAATAAAAAAGTAATTTTAGTAAAAGTGTTTTTGTAGAGACATTTAATATTGCTTTTCTATATAAAAGTACTTCCCTTGTAATTTAAAAAAAAAAAAATGTAATTCAATTGTTTATTTAATCTAAAAGGTATTTATTAATTAAGTGTTTTAAAAAAGAAAATGTAATATATTTTTCAACTTAAGAAAAATTTTCTACTCATACTCTTTTGTTATAATAATTCTTTATGGCTGAATTAATATTTCCACCCAAAATTTAAGACAATTATTAGTACCCTCAGTTCGAAAAACCATTAACGTTTCTCCCCCCACCCCCCTTGAGTCTCCCTTAATGGATTTTGTCACCTGACAGACACTATCATAGACGGTGCAAAGACAAATCTGCCCCTATAGTATTTAGTTTCTGAATTTTCTACATGTGAAAAATAATAAAAAATTTGCAAAAAAGGCAACATAAATTGGCTGTTCGATGGCCAGGGGTGTTACCACTAGTTGCAACCCGGTCGACGATCTATTTGTTTGATTTTGATTTTATTCATGTTTCTCGTTAATTTTTGTGTTAAGAGTTCAGTATCATCAAATACTTTTTCAAGGGTTATAGGCTGAAAGGAATAATTACCCCTTTACCGTGAAATTTAAAAAAACGGGGGGAACGTTGATGGTTTTTCAAAGTGAGGGTACTAATATGTATTTCGGCCTTTAAAATTAAATTTACAATAGATTCCCGCAGATACAGTGGGTCTTTCTCTTTCTCAATTTCTAGAAATCAATTTAGGTATAAATAGATAAGAATAAAAGCAGCAAGGAAGTGATGAGTGGGCAACCAAGACAATATAATTGGATGTTTGAAATTGGAATATCGGATTCAAGTGAGCATGGGAGTTGGAGCCCAGTCTGGAGGAGGTCCATTTAACTTGGTCACTAAACCGCTGCTTCAAGTCAAGCCACCTAAACTTGACCCAAGTCAAATTTTATTTTCTGGGTGAAAGATGTTAACCATAAAAGTTAAAACTATAAGAAAGAAAAAGTTAAATGTCACGTGTTGGAAAGGCTTTCATCATATCTTGGTGAAAAGGGGAAGAAAATAAAAATTATGTGGGATGTACTGTATCATCATTTGAAATATTAAAATTTAATTGAATTTTAATTTAGAGAAATACTATATTAATAATCAAGGGTAAATTTTACTTTCCTTAATTGACTTATAACTATTTTAATCTAATATCTAAATACCATCCGTTTTTAACAAGATTTGAGGCCATTGGAAAAAAGAAAAAATAAATAAAAATAAAAATGGAAATGACGCCGTTTGAAGAGAACAAGATAGGATGTCCAATAGAAAAAATATAAAAAGGATATGGTGGGGAACATCGAACAAGAAAACCCATAAGGGCGTGGTAGTCTGTTTGTTCTTCTTTGTCTCTTTCGTCAAACCAATTTTTATTTTGTTGAAAGCAAAAACTGAAGCCTCTCTCTCTCTCTCTTTCTCTCTGTGTCCTCTGATATTATTATAGATTTTTTATTTGTTTTATTTTAGTTTCAGAGACAAACCATGACCAGCACCTCCGCCGCCGCTCGCAAGGTCACACCTTAATCAACTTCATATAGTTATACACTTATCTTCATTATCTCTTTTATTTTCGAGTTCGTTTTATTGTTTTCTATTTTTTTTTTTTTTAACTGTTTTAGGCGCTGAGTAAGATTGCTTGCAATCGCCTTCAGAAGGAGCTTGTCGAATGGCAGGTAAACCCTCCTACTGGTTTCAAACACAAAGTCACCGATAATCTGCAGAGGTATTTCTCTTTCTCTCCCAAACCATTTTTAAATATTGTTATTAATATTTGTTTTTTTTAAGAATTATTGTCTAGATATGGTTTATAGTTTTTGAGCTTTTGGTTTGGTTGCTCGGAAGACTTTGGATTTTGGATCTCGTGCTTCATAATGTTTTTATTTTCCTTCTCTTAATGAACGACTTGATTAGGGTTCAGAAAATGAAAAATTTTAGCCAAACAAAGTAATTTGATTTCATTATACTTCTCACATCTTTTTTCCTTGTTAGGGTTTTAAAGAAAAACTATTTTTGGTTTGTGCTAAAATTAGTAGGTTGACAATAGTGGGTTTTTTTTTTTTTGGGACGGTAAAGGTGGGTTATTGAAGTGAATGGAGCTCAAGGGACTCTATATGCAAATGAAACATACCAACTTCAGGTTGATTTTCCTGAGCATTACCCTATGGAAGCCCCTCAGGTCCAACCTAAATTTTATTTCTTTCTATAATTCATTTTTATTGTTTAGTTTTTATTCTTATTTTTATTTTTTCTTCCCATTGATGATGCGGTTTTCAGGTTATTTTTCTTCATCCGGCTCCACTTCATCCTCATATTTACAGCAATGGCCATATTTGCTTGGGTAATTTTTGTCGGTTTCATATTAGCTTCTTCACCTGCTCTCTCTTTTCCTATGAATTTAGTTTTTTTCTTGGTGTATTTTGATCTTCTTGGTTGAGATAATGGACCCAACGGCTTGGAAGGTTTTTTTTTTTTGTCATGTTCACAACATAACCTTTTTTTTCCTGCATTGATTGGGTTCACACATTTATTGAATGGTATTGTCGCCAAATGCTGACATACATTTATTATTAGTCCTGTTCATCTTTTATTTTGCGATAAAAGATTTTTCTTTTTCACATTTGTTCTTTCTTGCTAATGAAGATATTTAAATTTTTTGCCTTGAACCTTAGGGAAAAGCATAAACAAATAATGAATTTATGCTTATTCTTCTTGTGTTTTCCCTTGACAGTACTTCTTTGGACATATTTCTTCTGTATTGATGCAAATTGTATTTATGAAGATTTATAGACTTTCATAAAATTGTACATGGCTATTCTTTGCCGGGGAAAAGTTGTGTCTCTCTGATTGCTAAAGCCTAGAATCAATTTTGGGATTACATTTTGTTAGGATCCCACATTAGAAAAGAAAAGGGTGGGCATGTAGGTTATAAAGGGCTTGGGCACCCTCCCTTGGCAAGCCGGTTTTCCAAGGAGAGTTCTACCCAAACCCATAAAAGACCCATGGCGCAGCCCAATTGTTTGAGTTGTTCGGGTGGGTTCCTATCACATTTCTATTTGCTTGGAAACCTATTCAAGTTTGTTGCTCATATGCCGTGGATATCGATGCTGATTGTTCTTTTACATGTTTAAAGAGTTTTGGACATCATGATATAACATAATGAATCTGGTCTCGTACATCAAACACAGATACTAACAGACAAAGAGACTTTGTTTCTTATTTCCTGATATGTGCTAACGTTATTTAGGACTTCTACTAATAGTTTCATTTCCCCTGTTATGCATTTTACCAATGTCCAAGTTCTTCGGTGTAAGCCTGTACTTGAATGTCTTTGCAGCAATACTTGCATTTTTAATATGCAAATTTTGTGTTGTATTTTGTAGATATCCTGTATGATTCATGGTCTCCAGCCATGACTGTTAGCTCTATTTGTATCAGCATTCTCTCCATGCTATCAAGCTCAACTGCGAAGGTGTGAATATATTTTCAATTACTTTTTGGTGCATCCTGATCCCCTCCATTTTCCTTCTATAAACAATGCTTCTTATGTGAATTTGATGCACCTTGACTTTGCTTGCAGCAACGCCCTGAAGATAATGACCGCTATGTTAAGAACTGTAGAAATGGCCGATCTCCTAAGGAGACCAGGTGGTGGTTCCACGATGACAAAGTGTAATCAGCAAGCATCCTTCTCGCTCCATTAGTGTTATAACTAGGGTAGGTGGGTTCCGTTTACAAAGGAAAATGAAAGCGAACGATTAAAAAAAAAAAAAAAAGCATTCTGAGAATGCTATCGAGACTACATGCTAAATAACTCCTGTAAATGGCAGTGGCTGGTATTTGTAAAGGAAGAGTAACTATTCTGTGTTTTTAGAAATGTGTAAGGTAAAAACTTACTCAAGTATTTGTTGTAACCCAGGTGAGAGCTGCTTTATGCATTCTTAGACTGAAATCCTGTGGACGTTATGTAATTATTCTCATGACGGAAGTCTCTGCTTATGATTTGGCAGCATGAGTAACGGATGATTCCTAGTCTTAGAAGTGTTTTATTCAAACAATTCATGCACCTGTTTCGTTTTAGTTTTTTCAAAAAAAAAAAAAAAAAAATTAGAATACCAAAAATATTTTGCCCGTTAGTGTTTCTGCATATTAATTGGTGGTTTATACTATTGTGCTATGTATCTGCTTGTCCTTGTGACTCCTGTTTCCTTTGCTTCATTTTGACCCTCCAAGTAAATGTAAGAGATAATGATTAAATGCATGAAAATGTAGTCTGTAGACTCTGTACAAAAGCTCCGATTCGACAATGGAGCAATGTTTTAAAAACCAACCGTAGCTAAACCTGGCAAAGAAGTTAGGTCTCGGGTTGACTGGTTTAAGCGATTTGAGTGGTGGGTCAAACCGTGATGTGTTGCTTAAAAAATTTTCAAATTTTTTGAATGGGGGCGCACATTAGCCAGGCCACTGTTCCTGGCACAAGTTAGCATGCGTCGACTGGCCTTCTTTCCCCCTTTTATGGCTGTTTCCTCACCTAAAGTCACTCCATCACCACCACTAGAACCCCCACCATCTTCTCTTTAAAACTATGTCGAGTCTTGGTTCAACGAACCGGGTTTTAAAACAGTGCAATGGAGCTTTGTATATTTTGTGCACATAATTAATAAGTAATGAATACGATCAACGTTGATCTCACGCTTGTTGAAACTGTTCCTGATCCAAAGAGCCAGGTTTTAAAACAATGCAATAGAGCTTTATATATTTTGAGCACGTAATTAATATGTAGTAGATACGATTAACGTAGATCTCATACTTGTTGAAATTATTCTAGAGTGGACATGGTGGACAGATCAACCACCACGGTAGAAGTTATACAAAGTATATTTAAGTTAAGGTGAAACTATTTTGTTTTTAAGATGGGATTCAAACGTATTATATTCTGATGTTATAAAATTATATAATCACTGATCAGGACGTGGCATTGATAAATTCAAAAGTTATTTTATTTTCCCCTTCTTTGACTGTGATCTCACCTTACTTTTTCATCAAGCAATCAATAAGACAATATAAAAATTCACAACGACATTGTTGACCAGCATACCTTGTCTTTACTTGTGTGAGCAAGAGAAAAAGAAATTGAAGAGCATGTCAGTGAGCGTGAGTGAGGTAAGGCACCAAAGGATTAGAACTAACGGGATATGGATGCACGTAGCAGAGCAAGGGAGTGGTCCTCTTGTTGTACTGCTTCATGGTTTTCCAGAATTTTGGTATTCATGGCGCCATCAGATCACCTACTTGGCCAACCAAGGTTACCATGTTGTTGCTCCTGATTTAAGGGGTTACGGTGACTCAGACTCTCCACTAAGTCCTTCCTCTTACACTCTACTTCATCTTGTTGGTGACCTTGTTGGCCTTCTTGATCATTTTGGTGCACAACAGGTTCTCCTTTCTCTCTTTCTCTCCTCAGTCCTTATCAAACACAAACAAGTGATTTTTAAATTTATTATGAGAGTTTTTGTTATGCGATTTTTTATTGAGTTGTAACTTGTAATTGGTATTTGATATGAAAAGGCCTTTATTGTGGGACATGACTGGGGAGCTGTTGCTGGTTGGTATCTTAGCCTTTTCAGTCCTGAGAGAGTAAAGGGTTTTGTTAGCTTTTGTGTTCCTTTCTTTCCAAGAGATCCAAATACTAGATCTCTTGAATCTTGTGTAAGATTGTTTGGAGATGGATTTTACATCTGCCAATTCCAGGTACACTGTCTCTTCGAACATATACAAGCGTATGTAACATATATGTTATTATAATTATAATAAAGATTGACTTACAATCTAATTTTATAAACTTTCAGAGTAACTCACAATTGGTTAGCTCGTAATTGGTTATACATGACCTATTGTTGGGTAGTTAGGACCCATTATGAGTTGTTACTTCATTGTTGTGAGAAAAAGTTTTTAAGATTGAGTTGTAAGTGTAATATTATTTTTATGATTAATATTTTGTACGGTTGGTCTTGAGTAGGAATCAGGAAGAGCAGAGAAAGCATTCGCGAGATATGATTATTTAACAGTCATGAAGAAGTTCTTGTTGATAACAAAGACTGGTAATCTGATAGCTCCTATGGGGATGGAGATTATTGATTATTTGGAGACACCAGCTAATTTACCTTTGTGGATAACTGAAGAGGAACTCCAGGTCTATGCTGATAAATTTCAAGAATCTGGCTTCACTGGCGCACTTAACTACTACCGTGCTATGGACCTGTATGCCTAACATAATTTGTTATATTTTTCTCCCAAACACAAATAACTATCTCTGAATTAAGGGTAATACTATACTGACAACCAAATCTTACAAATTTTTTCTCATAATTCTGCCGTGAAAACTCGCAAATATATCCCGTTTCCTCGCTATAAGTCTTACCTGCCCATTTGTGAGTTCACCGATTGCGAGTTACCACATTAGAGTTGTGAGAAAAAGTTTGTAAGATTAGATTGTGAATTAATCTTTATCCCTAAATTAATTGGGGATTTAGATATCCAAATTGCATAATTCAGAGAAATTCATTAAGTAAAATTGAAAAGTAGGGCTTGCCATGTTTCGGAAGCCTTGTTCAGGGTTGATTTACAATGCTTTTCATCTGTAATAATGTGAAATGATTAAATGACAGGAACTGGGAGCTTCTTGCAGCATGGGAAGGATCTAAAGTTACCGTTCCAACAAAGTTCATAGTGGGCGACAAAGATATAGGTTTTGAGATAAATGGTATCAGAGAATATGTCACAGGAGATTTCAAGAACTTTGTACCCAATCTTGAAGTTGTTATCCTAGATGGTGGTCACCATTTCATTCAACAAGAGAAACCAGAAGCAGTCTCAGAGGAAATCCTTTCTTTCCTCCGCAAGTTTGATTAGCCGATTTCCACTGGTTTAAGAACAGGCCTGTGGCCTGTGCCAGCCACATGTATGTTTATTTTGTGTGATTCTACCAATTGCAACTGCCACAATGTATGATAATTTTGTATGACTATAAATTGCAGCTGCCACAGAATGGAATAAAGTTTCGACTTTATATTTGTGGCTATCACTCCAAATTACCTTTGTTATGTTTTCTGAAAATGAAAGCTTCAGTATTGTATGAGTACCTTTTTGCCATGTCAAATCTGATGAATGCTCAACGATCTGTGCAAAGCAAAACTATTCATGAAAAGGAAAAAGAAGGTAAAACATACCTACAAATGATCAGCTGCAGGAGTTGTTTTCTGGGCATCCTGATCAACAACCTTTTTGACACTTGAAGAACTTCCTCCAGTTTTTGGTTCATGTGTACCATACACTCTCTGAAGGTTACACAAGCATTTATACTGGTGAAGCACCCACTGACATTTTTTTATTTTTCACCCCATGGCCAGAGAATTCAATGTTCTTAGAGACAATGATCAAAAAGAATAAGGTGAATCAACATCCTTACGTCCCAAAAAGTTTTCTACCACAAGGCTACACCATTGTTAATGAATCAGAAAAAGTGAAATTGATGAACGAAACGTACCTATTATTCCATCAATTTCCAAGCAATACTCTGTAACAGAATAAATGAACAATGAAGCCACATTGCAGCTAGTCAATCTCCCAGTAGCATGTTTTGCTATAATTCTTACTTCCAGAACACTGGCATAATATACTTGTCCTTTAAAAGCAATCACCAAAAGATAGGAATCCACAGGGAACCAAACAATTTGTAGCCAATTCACATTTCAAAACCATTCAGTAAGTAGAAGTTAAAATTTAAGGATAGGCTTTTCATTATTACATATCGATGAGATTTGTATGACCAATCCTTTACTATCTACTTTAGCCTAATAAATCATTATTGGCAGTAGCTACAAAAAGAATGTAAAAGAAACTGAGAGCAAAACAAAATTCAGCTATGGTTTCTTCCCATCCTCAGAAAGTTCAGCACATTCTCATACACAATAAATGTGATTGAAGAAGCAGGAACATTTTTCAAAAGGTTTGGTGTGATGCCCTTGTAAAAACCGCGAAAACCTTCAAACCTGCAAGCTCAAATAAAAAGGAAAAAGAAAAATGTGAGAGAGAAGACATTAATATACAGATTCATGATGACAGTACAAACATTTAAATCTCTTCTACAGAAAAGTTTGTCCTTCGATCAAGATGAGCCTGTATGTCCAAAATTGCACACTTGACAATAAGTTGGAAAATACTCTCAGCTTTCAAATGACTTGTTATCTATTTAAGAGTCTAAGAAATGTTTTGACAGAGACAATTTCTGGCAGAGAACAATTATAGGTAGGCTCTGTACTGTTTCCTGTCAATCAAATGCCTAAAAGCTGGAGAAAAACAGTTTAATTAACTTTCTTTTCCCCACCATTCAAATGAAACCCAAGTTTTATGCTGAAATTCAATCTCACCGAAATGTTTCCTTCACAACATGCCAGCTATCCATATATCTCGGAATTCCATCACTACTGGGTCTTTGCTGCAGATGGATAAAGAATATGGTCATTAATAAGATAGGCTTAAACTGATGAGCTGACAGTATCTCCAGGGGCAAGTTTAATTGTTATCTCCAAAAAACGAGTAGAAGATTTACAAATGAAGGCTGAAAAGAATACAATTGTCTCCGCCAAAGTAGCAGCACTATAAGAGTACTTGGATTCTCAAAATTTAAAAGTTGCAACACTTTGACAACTAGAGTATGTGTAGAAAGATACCAAATAAACTATACCTGCAAACGAGCTCGAATAACCTGGAAAGACAAGTCCCCGATCACATATATGTCAGCTAAAAGATAAACAACCATTTACAAAAACTACCCATGAGGTATAAGAATGCCTACCTGAAATGGATATGTAAGAAGAATGGCAGCAACCTTAGAAGATCCCCCAAGAATAGCATAATCAACTGAATTCTGCCCAAGTATGGTAGAGAATATTAATTGGTCTATAGCATCAGAAACTGGTCATATCAACAACAAAAAAGAAAATGCTGGAGTTTACATCCTACACCTATAATAAAGAGCTGTAAGGTTACATTGACACAATGAAATAAGTAAGCAACCAATGCAAACCTCTGCAGCCTAGTCTTGCTGTTACAGACAAACTGCAACAAGCCGCACACTATAACATGCTTGTTTGTGTGTAACATGCTTGTTGTTGAGGTGCCAAATGATCCCTCTAACAAGCTGCACACTAATGGGATTGTAGCAAACGTTCAATGTTGATTCTCTATATTATTCAGTACTTACCAATATATTATCAACGCTATCAGGATTTTGTTTCCTTTTTTTATTTTTGTAGTCAACAATAGCTTTACGAAGTTCCTCATATGCAGTGAACTGAACAGCTCCATGAGAAACCTGCTGAAGCAACAGGAAGCCAGTAAGCTTCAAAAATCTAGAACAACAAAAACACAATATTTGATGCATTAATTGATACAAATATCTGTCATTTAGCACTCTAGTCTTCCCCAAGTAAATTCAAATCTCAGTAATCATGACTCTGAATTTCCATGCAGTCAAGTGGAGTACATGAACTCAGTAAATAGACATCACTGTTCTTAATCTACTATAATTATTTGATCGCATAACCACTCAGAAGTTTCAGTTACAAACTAAAGTTCAAAGCAATTGAACATACACCAATAAGTACAGTTTACTTTGTGTGTAAAATAGAAACATCCATTTTAAAGAGAGAAGATCATAGGATGAACTTAATTGCAAACTCTTATTACATGAGAGGAGAATTTCCAGTTATTGGGAAAATGACAATCACAAAACTGCTATAAAAAAGTGTAAAAACAAATAGTCATATGCACCATGGGAAACTTCTAAGATCACCCTAAAGCAACCCTAAAAAAAAGGTTGTAAAACAACAAAAGACAGAGCATAAAGAAGAGGAAAAAAGACAAAATGAGAAAAAATACATTGAACAAATAGTGCATGCATAAAATAACCTTTACTTCACATTAAAAAAAAAAAAAAAAAAAAAAAAAGAATAATTGTAAAAAGGACTAAAAGCACATATAGTAACCTACCAGAAAAAGACCAGGAACAATCCCTTTATAAAGTGCAGTCCACCCTTCCTCTGTCATTATGGTTCTTAGTGCATCTGGAAATTGATAACACAGAAAGGAAAATTGTATCACTAGAATGCAATAAAAAAGATAAGTAAAACACATAAAACAAAAGAAACTAAAATAAAGTGGAATGTATTTGAAAGTTAGTCCTACTGATAAAATGGGAAAGTTCAATAATTAAGTAATTATGTCCTTAACTAAGGAGTTCCTAAATACACTAAGCTACACATGGTAAAAAGCAAACATATGTTGCTCTAGCATAATCAATTAAACGGAAAAGCCTGAATTATCTAACAACATTCTTGAGAAACAGAAGCTTTTAGTATTCAAAGTCCGAGTTCATCATCTCACATCCTTATTTCAGCACTAGCTTCTAACAGAAGCTTTGCATCCAAAAAGGAACAAATTCAGGGACTATTTAAAAACCAGTTGAAATCAACAAAATATTAAGCACCAACAATTATTTAAAACAAGAAACAAAAAAAGAAAGCTATTCATCAAAGCCTAGGAATTAGGATCATTATAATTAATCTTTAGTTAATGAGATAAATAACTAATTAATTTGATTGCTAATATTTTGAGTCAAAAGTGGATATGACTCACTAGGGAAAGTGATATCTCAGAGAGCACATTATTAGCATATTAGTGAAAGATGCGGAGCAGACCATAAAGCCCAGAATATGGTCGAGTTTGATGAAGAGGCGTCTGAAGCTGCAATCTTGTTTTTACAAGCCAAACAGGATTTGTGCACAAACAAACCTGGAAAATGCCAGACGATTGCACTTTATCAAAAAAAAAAAAAAAAAGTGGTAACAAACATGGCCTCAAAAGAAAGACCTAAAAAAGGAAGAAAAAGAAGAAGAAGAATGGTAGTTTTTATATTCTGTTAAAGCAAATTGAAACTACGCAGCCAAGCATCAATAAAAAGAGTATGGATATTGTTACCAAAAAAAGCACCAATCTTCAAGAAGTGCTAACTCTTCAATTGGCAGCATGGAAGAACACTCCTGATCACATGATATGTTACACTAGCTTTCACCTTTACACTATGAAAAATGCTACTTATACAGACATCTGTCTACTTTTTTCTCTCATTTTCTTGTTTTTCTACAAAATCTATAGACCTCTCTGCCTACTTATGTTCCTGTTGCTGTAGTTTGATATTATAGGGAGTATGCACCCTCTGTCACTCATTCAGGACATATGATTGGAAGTTCAAGTACTTACCAAAGCTCCAGCTTCTGCAGCTGAAGCTACATGAAGACCAGGGCTCAGCTTCTCCTCCCCATTTTTGGAATATCGCTGTTTGGCTCTACCATAGCTACAAATAGAAGAAAGAAGACTCAATTAAACAAATTTGTTGACTGACTTTTTAAAGTAAAAACAACCAACCGAAAGATGACCAAGGCAGTGGCATCTAATTCGCACTTACAAGAAGAAATATAAACCCCAAGAAAGAGTTGACCCTAGAACAGCAGGAGAGAAACCAGCATAAAGCCCTCTCAGACCCTGCAGTACAAAAATATTGTGATCGTCCTAACAATATAACATAAAACAGGAAGTCTGACTGTAGTTCTTTTACTCCAACAGACAAAAGAGATCTCCTATCAAGGAGCTTAAATATCATTTTCAGCACCACTCAAAACAAGAGGCAGGGACCGAATTTGGAAGCTGGTTTCACACTTGCATTTTACCTTAATATGCATTAACTCTTAACATTAAATCAATTTAAAAATGCAGGTAACAAGGAGTAAGTCAAAATCTATTATTTTCCATATTCTACAGAAATTTAGCAATCTGCCTCCACAAATCCCTGTACCTAGATTTTATTCTTAAAAATCAAAATCCAAGTTTACACTGTGTTTAGAGTAGGAATTAGACGTGCATTTGGAGATGGCTCCAACTCCAACCACTTTCAGTTCAAACTGCAAAAGTAAGATAGATCCTACACTAATTCTTTCAATCATGCCCCAAAAAAGAAATTGCAGCAGACAAGGGAAACAAACCTCCAAGCGAGCAATGGTTAAAATAGCATGTGCAGTGTTCTTGTAACTTGGAAGATTGGATACTCGACCATCATTAACTAGAATGAATTCAATCAAAATCAATAAAAACGAAAATAAAATAATTCCAAGCAATTAATCTTTTAGTAAATAAATTAAAAAAAGAAAAAAGAAAAAAGAAAGCAGAGGACCTTGAAACCTAGTACGGACGACGTCAAGGGGGTGCATAGCAGCCACTGTAGCGAAGCCTGCAATGGCACCGGCTGCGGCGTTTTCCCATTGCCGCTGCTCTGATTTTGACTCTGACATTTATTATTAAAAACTACCTTACAGAAATTAATATGGCGAGAGCACAATTCATTTCATAAATTTGCGCCCAACACCAGGGTCTTGCCCGTCGGTCCTTGTCATGGTGGCCTGTTACTGTTATGCTGCAAGTTAGCATTGAATCATGCTGTGCCGTTAATGCATAACAGTGTTTCAGGGTTTGACTATCTGGGTAGAGGTTAAAACGACGTCGTTGAGTATCAAGTCCTCTTGAGGACAAATTTCTGTATTGGGAAATATCACTGACTACCCCATATATGTATATTTTGACGACGTTTTCCTTCAAAATTGGTAAAAATGTGGGAGAATTATCTAACATGGTATTTCGAGTTTAAGTTTTCATGACTCTTTATAAAGATAACGATTATAACTCTTACCTAGTTAATAGTTCAAAGGTCTTGAAGATTAGCTATAATATACACAAACTGACTTAAACACACTCTGTGATAGAAAAAAAAAAAAAAAAAAAAAAGCGCTTATGCCACATGTTGTACAAATATGGCCCTAAATAAGTGATATTTATTACATAATTGTTGACAAATAAAGAAATTACAACTTTGAGAGATTTCGTTCAAAACTAAAATGAGGTGGAGAATTGGAGATTCTACTCACTCGGATTGAGTCGAAATGGTTTGACATAAAATCTCAGTAAGTGACCTCTTGTGAAAGTTATAAAAGAGGGGTGACCCAAGTGGAATCCATATCCTCTGTTGTTTTAAGAATGAAATAATTTTCCCACCCAAAGTTTACCGTAATCACTTTTCCACCCATAAACTTTGAAAAAATAACATTTTCCCAACCATCGGTAAATTCAAACATTAGTTTTACTTTTAACAGCAAAAGGGTATTATTGTCAGTTCGCACAATACACATTATAAAGTTAGTGTTACTTACACCCCTAAATTACTACCACATTACAATTATATTCACCAACTTGGAATAGCTGGGTGTGATTCGATCGGTTAGACACCAAAAACATCTCCTGCCTCCTATTCCCTTCCCAATTTTCAGTTATCATTTTGGGGTTAAGAGTGGTAAGAGATTGCAAAGTTGTTAAAAGTAGCAGTGGACTCAAACTATTGCACAGCTACGAGTCACAATTCATTCAGATTCTTTTATAAACTGAACCTGTCATCAGAATTCAATTCTACAAAAGGTGTTTGGAAGCATAAATAATTATGGATACAGCTGGTTTTAGAAAAATGAAAATCTAACTTCTGCTCAGATCTGCTTCTTCTAACTCAGAAAAACAAGTGAATTAGTTTTATGAATGAATGTTCTGAATTATGACAAAATCTACATTGATCTCCATGACTTGCAACATCCCAGCATGATAGATCAATATTATCTATTCTGATTATAACAAGCACCGGAGCACAAAAGCCTTGAGCTTAACATTCTCCATTCTTCTTCCCATTTGGAAGTAGGCTGACAACAAAAACAAAATAGTATTAGGTAAAAAAAATGCAAACCATTACTTCACAAGTATGAAAACCAACATCACCAATGATAACATGAGTCAGTAAAATTTATAGCCTTAATGTTATTACTGCATTATAAGAAATGTGGTAGTGTTTCAACAAAATATATCCCCACTTCCCCAACATGTATAAGAAAATAATCACAAAAATGAAAGAAAATATGACTAAGAGAAATTATTGCCTTCTTCACAAAAATGAGTGTCTAATTATCTTATAGATATCACACTCATTATTTATTTTTTTCAACTCCAACACTGATGGCATACTGAAGGCTTAGTTGGGAATAGACTGTAATACTTGTAACTATTCGATACTTGCACTGTCTTCTGTCTACTATCCACAACTTTCCTCTTTTAGTTTCCTACCATGCTGCAGCTCTATTCAGCAATAACTAAAGCATATGACTAAGAGAAATTATTGCCTTCTTCACGGTTCTTTTCTTAATTTTTGGCCTTTAAACAAATCTATATAGTACAAAATTCAGGTCTAGAATAGTGGATTATGCCATCACCAACCCCTAGAATCCATTCCCTTCTTGTCTTTTCTCCATTGCCTGAAATAGATTATTGTGCATCACCAATAAAAGTTGCAATTGTTAATTTTGACTACAAAATTTTTGCTTCTCTGCCACTGTCATTATGCAAAAAGAGCAAACTTACAACATAAACAGCTACAATGGTCCTCATTGATTCTCTCGCTTGAACTTACATAACAGGACTTGCTTAAGATTCCTAACTAAGGAATAGTTAACTGGAACTTCAAGTTACTTGCCTTAAACTATGGGATATTCCCTTCCCCTCTTCCACACAGTCCCATTAATTCTTGGATTAAAAGGTCCCCGTTCCATCTTTTAATCAATCAGGAACATAGTAGGAGCTGTTTAAAAACTGACTATCCTCTCTACAAATATACTGAACTGCTATCAGATATTATCTCACAAATGAGTGTAGTTCTTGAAAACAGCTCTCTTACATTACCACATTACAGAGCTTCAAACCCTCTTCAACCTTACATACTATATCCATCAAACAATCATTATAAAGTATTAGTCATCAATAAGGTATAATCAAAATCTTAATATAGCCTAGATTAATCTCAAATCTGCAGGGTTCTAAAAACTAAAATCACAGCCAAAGCAAGCAATTATCATACAACATACATTGAAGATTCATCTGGTAAAACAAACACAAAGATGAATTTAACAAGCAGCTACATTCCAACGTGTTACTATTTCAATAATAGGGCATCTTTAGATCATTATAGCATATAAATTCCAGAGTCCATAATTGAAACACAATTTCATGAACTTTTCAAGAATGGAACGAAATTCACTTATTTGCAGAGCAACACAAACGTATAAAACAAACATGTTAAACTACTTAACCCTACCTACCTCACTCCAAGGACACTTTGGCGCCAATCTCCTTCAATTTAGCAATAATCTTGTCGGCCTCTTCTTTCGTGACGCCTTTCTTCAATAAGGTTGGAGCTTTCTCCACTAAATCCTTAGCCTCTTTCAGCCCCAAATCTGTAAAACCTCTCACTTCTTTAATCACCTTAATCTTAGCAGCCGCATCAAAACCTTCAAGCTTCACATCAAAAACAGTTTTCTCCGCTTTCTCCTCAGCCTTCCCGGGGCCACCTCCGCCTTTCGCGGCGCCCTTCACAGAGAATCCCATCCCCGGCATCATCACGAACATGTTCGGCATCTCCTTGATTCCCATTTTTTCCCGAAGGACTTCGGAAAGGTCTGAGACTTCCAGGAGTGTAAGCTCCGAGAGTTCGTCCACTATTGCGGACACTTTTTCGGACGGTTTTGGGGTGGGAGTACAGTACTTTCGAGCAAAAATCGGAGTGATTTGGAGATTAGCATTGGTAGTACAACTTCGAGGGTTCTGAGGGACGGATTTGAAATTTCGGGATAAATGTGAGGAAATGAAGCGTAAGTACCTCATTTTTAAGGTTTGAATTTCAAATGGAGACTCCTTTTACATTAATATCGGATTGGAAGGAAGGGAAATGAGTGCATTCATGACGTTGAAGAATTACTGAACTCGCATAAACCCTACGGAGAAGAGGATTTATTAGCCGTTTACGTTTATGACCTTGAACTTTGGGTTGTTTATACCGTGAGCCTGGCCCGGTCCTTCTGGTTGGGCTTTGATTTTATATGAACGAGAAAAGAATAATGCCTATTTTTTCATCTATTATAATTAATTATTTAAAAAAGTCATAAACCTTAATTCTTTTTTATTTATCTAATTTATTTGAAATTTTTTTTTTTGTATAAATTTGTGCAATCTTTGAAGTAATAGAAAAAAAATTATAGAAGGAGAGGGATTAGAAACTAACAAATAAATTATAATTTTGTCAGAGTTTGAAGGATAAAAGAGAAGGCAAGAGAAGCAAGTAGACACCGCAAGAGATTGTCCCAAGAAAGAGAAAGAATTTCAGAAGTATTTTTTGTATTATTTATTGCACTTTATACATAACACTATTTATAAAAAATTGTAAATAGAAGTAAGGAAATACAATTATGTGATTGAATGTGATTAGAAGGATTGTAGGAGTGATTTGTGTGATTGGAGATTGGATGTGATTGAGCCTTGATTCCAGCATTTCATCATGGCTTGATTCCATAATTCCATATTTCATCAAATTTCATTCTTGTAAATTATTTTTTAGTTTGTACAATGCATTATATAAAGACTAGTGAGGAACAAAGTTAAGGAAATGAAACTATATCTGGATAGTTGAGTGCTTCAATAATAATTTTTGGGTATATTTTTTAAAAGATCTTAAGTTCAAACCCTTCATCGGTTACTAATAGGGATAATCATTGGAGTCTGAAGATTAATTGAAATGCGTATAACTGTGTAACCGCCCCTAGTTTTTTTGCTTGTTTGGAGCCTAATCCTTCGTGGGGGTGTAGTGCTTTTGACTTTTGTAAACGATTGTACATCCTTGGTTTTCTCTTTTGTCTAATGTTTCCCTTTGCTTTTTGCTAGGGTCCTAATGTCTAGGGGTCATCCCCGTTGAGGTGTAAATTCTTTACTCTTTACAAAATTACCAGTTACCTAAAATAGCAGCAATGAGACGTGTTTAAGAAAAAAGTATAACATTTCAACATTTTGCTTTCATGATGCAACCTTCATGACAGGAAATCATGTTTAGGAACCTTGTGGACAGGCAAATTTAAGCATAAGCTGCTTCTGGGTAATGTTGCCATTTTGTTTAACTGGGGAGCTATGAATTGCTCGAATTATATTGGTGAATCAGGGTTTATCATCCAATTCAATGCCCCAATACTTTACCATCCAGTCTTGCCTATATAATTTTAAGGGAGCCTGTTCAGATTTAATGATTATGAGATCAATTCAGTTCCTTTACAGCAGACTCAGTTATATTGTGTAGCAGGGGCTTTATTCAGCACAAGGTCAAAATCAACGGAATACATTACAAGTTCAGAGAACACTGGTAATAGGTACAATCAAAAATGACAGATGGAATTTCCCAATTGAAGGAATAGAAACACATAAACAGCTACAATGGTCCTCATTGATTCTCTCGCTTGAACTACTTAACAGGACTTGCTTAAGATTCCTAACTAAGGAATAGTTAACTGGAACTTCAAGTTACTTGCCTTAAACTATGGGATATTCCCTTCCCCTCTTCCACACAGCCCCATTAATTCTTGGATTAAAAGGTCCCCGTTCCATCTTTTAATCAATCAGGAACATAGTAGGAGCTGTTTAAAACTGACTATCCTCTCTACAAATATACTGAACGCTATCGATATTATCTCACAAAATGAGTGTAGTTCTTGAAAACAGCTCTCTTACGTTACCACATTACAGAGCTTCAAACCCTCTTCAACCTTACATACTATATCCATCAAACAATCATTGCAAATTTTGTAGTTGACAGAGTGTGCCTATATAATCTGCAGTTAATGTTGATGATTGCTTTTATGTTATGGATTATCTGCTGGAAGCGTAAAGTGGACAAGAAGAAGAGAGGTAATGGGGAATGAAGACAGAAGAAAAAGAGAGGAGATGGGGAATGAAGACGAAAAAGTTTACAATTTTTTTTTTTTTTTTAAAGTATGGACGGGCGTCCCTTTATTGCGGACGCCCGTCCAAAATTAAGGGACGGCCGTCCACGATGGTGGATGGCCATCCCCAAATAATTTTTTTTTCTTCATATGTGGGTGAAGGACAGGCGTCCATTATTTGTGGACGCCCATTTAAAATTAATGGACGGCCCGTCCTTAAGGTTTTATAAATTTTTTAATTTTATTTTAATAGGGACATATGGACGCCTGTCCCTCGAATATGGACGCTCGTCCATATAATATGGACGGACGTCCATGTGAGTGAATGACCGTCCAAATTTAATGGACAACCGTTTACTAGAAAAAAATTGTAAAAAAATGGAAAGACGCGTTACACGTAAGCCGGTACAAAAATTCGGTTCTAATATTTCGGTATCCGTAGTGTTATTGTTGGAAAATATCACTGACTACCTTATATATGTATATTTTGACGACGTTTTCCTTCGAAATTCGTAAAAAACGTAAGAATCTAATATGATATTTCGAGTTTAAGTTCCCATAACTCCTTATAAAGATAACCACTGTAACTCTCACTTAATTGATAGTTTAAAGGTCTTGAAGATTAGCTGTAATGCATAGAAACTGACTTAAACACACTCTATTAAAGAAAAAAAAAAAAAAAACACGCTTATGCCACATATCGTACAAATATGCCCCTATATAAGTGATATATATTTACATAATTGTTGACAAATAAAGAAATTACAACTTTGAGAGATTTCGTTCAAAACTAAAATGAGTGTGGAGAACTGGAGATTCTACTCACTCAGATTGAGTCGAAATGGTTTGACATAAAATCTCAGTAAGTGACCTCTTGTGAAAGTTATAAAAGAGGGGTGACCCAAATTGAATCCATATCCTCAGTTGTTTTAAGAGTGAAATAATTTTCCTACCCAAAGTTTACCGTAATTACTTTTCTACCCATAAACTTTGAAAAAATAACATTCTCCCACCCATCGGTAAATTCAAACATTAGTTTTACTTTTAACAGCAAAAGGGTATTATTGTCAGTTCGCACAATACACATTATAGAGTTAATGTTACTTACACCCCTAAATTACAACCACATTTCAATTACATTCACCAACTTGGAATAGCTGGGTGTGATTCGATCGGTTAGACACCAAAAACATCTCCTGCCTCCTATTCCCTTCCCAATTTTCAGTTATCATTTTGGGGTTAAGAGTTGTGAGAGATTGCAAAGTTGTTAAAAGTAGCAGTGGACTCAAACTATTGCACAGCTACGAGTCACAATTCATTCAGATTCTTTTATAAACTGAACCTGTCATCAGAATTCAATTCTACAAAAGGTGTTTGGAAGCATAAATAATTATGGATACAGCTGGTTTTAGAAAAATGAAAATCTAACTTCTGCTCAGATCTGCTTCTTCTAACTCAGAAAAACAAGTGAATTAGTTTTATGAATGAATGTTCTGAATTATGACAAAATCTACATTGATCTCCATGACTTGCAACATCCCAGCATGATAGATCAATATTATCTATTCTGATTATAACAAGCACCGGAGCACAAAAGCCTTGAGCTTAACATTCTCCATTCTTCTTCCCATTTGGAAGTAGGCTGACAACAAAAACAAAATAGTATTAGGTAAAAAAAATGCAAACCATTACTTCACAAGTATGAAAACCAACATCACCAATGATAACATGAGTCAGTAAAATTTATAGCCTTAATGTTATTACTGCATTATAAGAAATGTGGTAGTGTTTCAACAAAATATATCCCCACTTCCCCAACATGTATAAGAAAATAATCACAAAAATGAAAGAAAATATGACTAAGAGAAATTATTGCCTTCTTCACAAAAATGAGTGTCTAATTATCTTATAGATATCACACTCATTATTTATTTTTTTCAACTCCAACACTGATGGCATACTGAAGGCTTAGTTGGGAATAGACTGTAATACTTGTAACTATTCGATACTTGCACTGTCTTCTGTCTACTATCCACAACTTTCCTCTTTTAGTTTCCTACCATGCTGCAGCTCTATTCAGCAATAACTAAAGCATATGACTAAGAGAAATTATTGCCTTCTTCACGGTTCTTTTCTTAATTTTTGGCCTTTAAACAAATCTATATAGTACAAAATTCAGGTCTAGAATAGTGGATTATGCCATCACCAACCCCTAGAATCCATTCCCTTCTTGTCTTTTCTCCATTGCCTGAAATAGATTATTGTGCATCACCAATAAAAGTTGCAATTGTTAATTTTGACTACAAAATTTTTGCTTCTCTGCCACTGTCATTATGCAAAAAGAGCAAACTTACAACATAAACAGCTACAATGGTCCTCATTGATTCTCTCGCTTGAACTTACATAACAGGACTTGCTTAAGATTCCTAACTAAGGAATAGTTAACTGGAACTTCAAGTTACTTGCCTTAAACTATGGGATATTCCCTTCCCCTCTTCCACACAGCCCCATTAATTCTTGGATTAAAAGGTCCCCGTTCCATCTTTTAATCAATCAGGAACATAGTAGGAGCTGTTTAAAAACTGACTATCCTCTCTACAAATATACTGAACTGCTATCAGATATTATCTCACAAAATGAGTGTAGTTCTTGAAAACAGCTCTCTTACGTTACCACATTACAGAGCTTCAAACCCTCTTCAACCTTACATACTATATCCATCAAACAATCATTATAAAGTATTAGTCATCAATAAGGTATAATCAAAATCTTAATATAGCCTAGATTAATCTCAAATCTGCAGGGTGCTAAAAATTAAAATCACAGCCAAAGCAAGCAATTATCATACAACATACATTGAAGATTCATCTGGTAAAACAAACACAAAGATGAATTTAACAAGCAGCTACATTCCAACGTGTTACTATTTCAATAATAGGGCATCTTTAGATCATTAAAGCATATAAATTCCAGAGTCCATAATTGAAACACAATTTCATGAACTTTTCAAGAATGGAACGAAATTCACTTATTTGCAGAGCAACACAAACGTATAAAACAAACATGTTAAACTACTTAACCCTACCTACCTCACTCCAAGGACACTTTGGCGCCAATCTCCTTCAATTTAGCAATAATCTTGTCGGCCTCTTCTTTCGTGACGCCTTTCTTCAATAAGGTTGGAGCTTTCTCCACTAAATCCTTAGCCTCTTTCAGCCCCAAATCTGTAAAACCTCTCACTTCTTTAATCACCTTAATCTTAGCAGCCGCATCAAAACCTTCAAGCTTCACATCAAAAACAGTTTTCTCCGCTTTCTCCTCAGCCTTCCCGGGGCCACCTCCGCCTTTCGCGGCGCCCTTCACAGAGAATCCCATCCCGGGCATCATCACGAACATGTTCGGCATCTCCTTGATTCCCATTTTTTCCCGAAGGACTTCGGAAAGGTCTGAGACTTCCAGGAGTGTAAGCTCCGAGAGTTCGTCCACTATTGCGGACACTTTTTCGGACGGTTTTTGGGTGGGAGTACAGTACTTTCGAGCAAAAATCGGAGTGATTTGGAGATTAGCATTGGTAGTAAAACTTCGAGGGTTCTGAGGGACGGATTTGAAATTTTGGGATAAATGTGAGGAAATGAAGCGTAAGTACCTCATTTTTAAGGTTTGAATTTCAAAATGGAGACTCCTTTTACATTAATATCGGATTGGAAGGAAGGGAAATGAGTGCATTCATGGCGTTGAAGAATTACTGAACTCGCATAAACCCTACGGAGAAGAGGATTGATTAGTCTTTTACGTTTATGCCCTTGAACCTTGGGTTGTTTATACTGTGAGCTTGGCCCGGTCCTTCTGGTTGGGCTTTGATTTTATATGAACGAAAAAAGAATAATGCCTATTTTTTCATCTATTATAATTAATTATTTAAAGAAGTCATAAACCTTAATTCTTTTTTTATTTATCAAATTTATATTAATAATTTATTTGATTTTTTTTTTTTTTGTATAAATTTGTACAATCTTTAAAGTAATAGAAAAAAAAAATTATAGAAGGAGAAGGATTAGGAACTAACAAATAAATTATAATTTTGTCGGAGCTTGAAGGATAAAAGAGAAGGCAAAAGAAGTAAGAAGACACTGCCTAGATTGCCAAGAAAGAGAAAGAATTTTAGAAGTATTTTTTGTATTGTGTATTACACTTTGGACATAACCCTATTCATAAAAAAAAAATGTAAATAGAAGTAAGGAAATACAATTATGTGATTGAATGTGATTAGAAAGATTCTAGGAGTGATTTCTGTGATTGGAGATTTGGATGTGACTGAGCCTTGATTCCAGCATTTCATCACGGGTTGAATTCCATATTTCATCCAATTTCATTCTTGTAAATTATTTTTTAGTTTGTACAATGCATTATGTAAAGACTAGTGAGGAACAAAGTTAAGGAAATGAAACTATATCTGGATGGTCGAGTGCTTCAATAATGATTTTTGGGTATATTTCTCAAGAGATCTTAAGTTCGAACCTTTCATCGATTACTAATAGGGATAACTATTGAAGTCTGAAGATTAGTTGAGATGCGTATAAACGTGCAACCGCTCTTAGTTTTTTTGCTTGTTTGGAGCCTAATCCTCGTGGGGGTGTAGTGCTTTTGACTTTTGTAAACGATTGTACATCCTTGCTTTCTCTTTTGTGTAATGTTTGCCTTTGCTTTTTGCTAGGGTCCTTATGTTTAGGTCCTCCCCGTTTAGGTGTAAATTCTTTATTGTTTACAAAATTACCAGTTACCCAAAATGGCAACAATGAGACGTGTTTAAGAAAAAAGTAAACATTTCTAACATTCTGCTTTCATGATGCAACCTTCATGACAGGAAATCATGTTTAGGAACCTTGTGGACAGGCAAATTTAAGCATAAGCTGCTTCTGGGTAATGTTGCCATTTTGTTTAACTGGGAAGCTATGAATTGCTCGAATTATATTGGTGAAACAGGGTTTATCAAATTTTTATCTAAAGAACATCCAATTCAATGCCCGAATACTTTACCATCCAGTCTTGCCTATATAATTTTAAGGGAGCCTGTTCAGATTTAATAATTATGAGATCAATTCAGTTCCTTTACAGCAGACTCAGTTATATTGTGTAGCAGGGGCTTTATTTAGCACAAGGTCAAAATCAACGGAATACATTACAAGTTCAGAGAACACTGGTAATAGGTACAATCAAAAATGACAGATGGAATTTCCCAATTGAAGGAATAGAAAGAACATAAAACAGATAATGGTAGATGATAATGCACATAACAAACTTGTTTTTCCTTTATTGGTGTCAAACTCACAGTGATGATATTGGCCAAGTTATTTATTTGTTAACCTTCCTGCAGTGCTTTCTGATCTCTCCCTTGGAACCGGTCAATGGAGTGATATTACCCATCTTAATCATGGACTTGGCAAATTGCTTAAAGAAAAGCTTATTGTTCTCTGCATATTTCTTCACTAACTCCATTGATGCTTCATTCTTGGTTAAGAGAACTTGATCAGAGTTTAATAGGCCCTTTGAAGCCAATATATTCTTGTAATAGGCGTTATCAAACTTTGTTGGGCTAACAAAGTCCAAGAAGAAAAGGTTCTGATCACCACCAGATCTTGGGCATCGGGGTCGCAATTGAGCAGCATATGATTTGTCAAGAGTGTTATCAGGTTGCCCGTTGCCTGATTGGTTGTACAGTCTCTGCCTGAAGCTTGTGCAACGGGAATCTCCGATTGTATGACTCCCTGCATAAAAAATTTTAGAAATTACTCAAAGGTGCCTCGTTTCCAGAAACACAAATAAGAGTTGACTGCAGTTAGCTAGTTTACCAGACAGCGCTACAAGATCAACAACATCAAGTCCTTTCAACTTGAACTTGGTGAGAATGGTTTGGAATGTGTTGTTTGGAGCAGGAATGTTATTGTTAGAGCCACTCAAGCTTGCATCTCTGGAGTCTCTTCTTCCTAATGGAACTTCCCAGCTAGGACCACCAGTCTGGACATGCAAAAATTGGTGAGATTTGGCCATATTGCAAGGCCACTTTGGTTAAGTAACAAGGCTAAAACATTAAGACTTACCAGGACAGTGGAATCTCTGGCAGCTAGAGCCAAAAGATCAGCACAGGATACAGTCTGAGGACATTCCTTCTCAAGAGCAGACTTGATCTCATCCAGGACTTCAAATCCCCTAGCTGAATTCCGGTTAGGATTGGACCTTTTCTCACTAATTATGGTGCCACTGCTATCTAACAATAGTGATGCATCACACCCCTATAAAAATAGACCACACAGTGTGAAGTATAATTCAATCATGGGAAATGAAGTTGAGAAATTTTTATGAATGAATTTAAGAAAATGAAATGAGAGTTTTGGGGAGGTGGCAGACCTTTACAAAACAGTCATGGAAATGGAGCCTCAGCAAAGAAGCAGCCATGCGGGTTTCTTTTGCAACAGCCTTAGCCACAACGGACTTCACTATCTGTTGAGCTTTAGGACATGAGTGATCATAAAACTGGGGGTAGAGATGCCCATCTTTCGCCTTGTCACAGAGGCAAAAAGGGGCAAAGGCAATGAGAGAAAAAGCAATGAGGAAGCTCATCAAGTGAGCCATTGTTTTGAGTGTTTTTTGTGACTTTCACTTTCGAGAGACACAAAACCAGAGAAGAAAACTTGAACAGTGAGAAAATTAAAGTACTGTGGGTATGATAAGAGCTAATATGGGTTATGAATATTTATAGAGGAGGAACTGTAGACATGAAAGGAAAAAAAGGAAACAAAGTTGGAGTTGATAACTTAACAACAGCTTCACATAAATTACAAGAAACCAACAAATCGGTGTAGTTGGTAGCATTGTACCCTTGTAGGCTGACTAATTCACCGTGGCAGACAGTTGGCCAGCATCTCATTTTGGCCGATAACGGTGTAGTACACTTTTGGGATGGAAAGGAGTTCACTGTTTATATATGGTAGTACACTTGAATTTATCTTGAAAACTAGTGATCTAAGCTTAAACCATTTTCAGGGTTTTGCCATAAATTTTATGTCAGGTTCCAAGGAATTCATTTCAGTAAACCCAGGCTTTACGTATCACTATTGAGTATTAAACTCTATTCCGATTATTTACGTGAAGACAGAGGCAGGTTAGCCCTTGCGTGCAAACCACAAACTTATACTTTTTCTTAGCTTGAAGGACATAGATTTTACATTACAGAAGGCATATATGCTGCTGCTTGCTCAATATATTTAGTGGGACAATAAAAATGACTTGAATTTGACGCACAATCAGAAGATTTTTATTGTTTTTCGTTCAGAATCTTTTTTAACATACTCATCATATAGAATGGAGTTTTTTTCAACTTAGAATTTATTGATGATGCCCAGCTAGAAAGTATACATTTTGTAAAGTGCATTTAGATTTCTTGCATATTCGCGTATGTAAATTTGTTATTCCATCACTATTGTTGCAGGTCTCACTTTTATTAATGCATTTTGAGTTGTCCACCAATTGTGGTACGATTCTCACTAATTTTTTCTCACAAACACGACGTGACAGTTTTAAATTGATCAAATCATAATTGATCAAACGAAACTTATTACAAACTAACTAATTACGAGTTGTCATGTCATGTTTATGAGAATATTTTGTCAATGTAGTATTATCATTGTAGTATTCTAGATGGAAAATACCAATTAATTTATCCTTCATGATGCGTATCTTTGATTATGTCAATAAACAATAAATTAGTTAACCTCTTAGCTCATATAACCCAGGTAATTACTTGGAAGAAGTCTTCAGACTGGTCAACCTTGCACTATTTTTAATTTGTCGAGTCTTTTAGATAAAAACAAGCGTGGGTGCCGTAGAAAGTAAACTGAAAACTCGTTGTGAGTCAAATTATTGTTTTGACACATTTAATAATATAACAATGAACGTAAGTCTTACATTACAAACAGTCGAAGCACTTAAAAAAATCTCTGATTCCTTTATTCTTTTGTATTAATCTTTTGTCTAATCATTATTGTATTATTTCATTGTTAATTCATTGAATTACACATACATTTTACGTGGTTATAATGTTTTCAATCAAGTATATCTAATTGGGTGTAAATTTTTACATCAACCGATGGGAAAACACCAATTAATTTGCAGCCTTGTGCCAACAGCCAAGTATCTTTCATTGGGTCAATAAGAATTATATATTAGTTAACATCAGAGCTCATATAACCATTAAACCAGGTATTTACTTGAAGAAGCCTCGAGATTGGTCAACCCTTGTACTTTTTTTAATTTGATCGAGTCCTTTAGATAAAGACAAGCGTAGAGGCCGAAGTTGGAGTAGACTCACCTGCTCCGTGGAAAAACCGACGACCTCGGACCCGGAGCCACTGTCCATTAAATTTCTACTTAAAATAGCGCCTTCAAAGACTGACTGTGTGAAAGCTACTATGATGCTGCCTTGATTATTTACATGGCTTTTTGAAAAGTTCATATCTTTCACTGAATTGGCTCTAAAAAAGCTTCAACACCATTAGTTTAATATTGCAGAATTATCCTAATGGCCAATGCCATCTGTCTCTTCTTTTATTAACATTTTCTCGTTTTCCACACAATCAATTGGGGTTCTTATTTTTTGTTCGTGGGTGTCACTGTTTGACCCGGGTGTTTAATTTTCGCTATCTCAGCTAGCTTTATCGTGCTTTATATTTAATTTGGGTGTAGGGAGAATCTACCCAAAGCAGGCCATGAGAATATTAGGTTAATCTAATTAAACCAATAAGATTATAAAGACATAAAGTTATAGCTAGAGTTGGACAACTACTCCCTAAAGTTTCTAAAATTTTAAAATCAAATCCTTCAAATGCAAGGAGGGACCTGCATTACGCTCTTTCAATTTTTATTAAGAGAAAATAAACAGTAGATGCTCCAACTTTAGGCTGTCCACACTCCACACACCGACACAAACTGGTGACTATTATTTTTAGAGTAAACAACATGTTCCCACCCGAGGTTCAGCAACATAGCAAGTTGGTACCGCTGGTTTCATTTATTCCAGATTACCACCCTTAAAAATAACATTTAGCCACTGTTGGGTTTTGACACACGTGTAGAGATTGCAATTACTGAATTGCCCTTGAACCTTTTGACTTTTGATTATTTAACAATAAAAAATTGAGTGGACAAGTAAAAAACCGAGAATGCCCCTATATTTATTTTATATACCCATAACAAATTAATGAAATCACTTGAATGCCCCTTTATTTTAATCTAAAATGCCAAAATTTAGAGGTGAATTACCTTAAACCCATGAAAATAATAATAAAAAAAAAAATCTCTTTCATCTTCCTGGTTTCTACCCCGTAGCGCCGCTGTAGCCTCTTAGGCCACTTTGGCCATTCATACTAGTGAACAAAGGTGAGGGTCCTCGGATGATGACTAAGGATTTAACGGCCTAATCGCAACGTGAAAATCGTCAGTTTCGTTGAAGTGCCTCAAGCCAAGTGGTCGCCTCCAACCAATGCATAACCACTTGGCCAGCCCTTAGTGCTGACCGCCCCACCTAACACCACTAGTTGCTTCTCGCCATCCCCACCAAAACCTCGACACCATCTATTGCCACCCATCACCCAAGTCTTCTCTCTATCGCGACGTCACATGACTCCACGTCATCGCAAACCGCCACCATCAAGCATACCGATCAAACCTCGCCACCTGTCACATGCCAATCGCGCAACACTTGGAGTTGTGTTGCTTTGGTTTTTGATTGAATTGGAGTTTGATTGAGTTGGTTGTTTTTTGAATTAGAGTTTGGTTGAATTTGAATTATAATTTGTTTGTTTGGGAGAGTGATTTATGTTTTTTCCGCAAAATTCCAATTAGAAGATCACAAAAAAAAGAAGGGGAGGTGGAGTTTTTTTTTTTTTTTTTTTTTTTTTNCTTTTATTAACATTTTCTCGTTTTCCACACAATCAATTGGGGTTCTTATTTTTTGTTCATGGGTGTCACTGTTTGACCCGGCTGTTTAATTTTCGCTATCTCAGCTAGCTTTATCGTGCTTTATATTTAATTTGGGTGTAGGGAGAATCTACCCAAAGCAGGCCATGAGAATATTAGGTTAATCTAATTAAACCAATAAGATTATAAAGACATAAAGTTATAGCTAGAGTTGGACAACTACTCCCTAAAGTTTCTAAAATTTTAAAATCTAATCCTTCAAATGCAAGGAGGGACCTGCATTACGCTCTTTCAATTTTTATTAAGAGAATATTAACAGTAGATGCTCCAACTTTAGGCTGTCCACACTCCACACACCGACACAAACTAGTGACTATTATTTTTAGAGTAAATTACATGGTCCCACCCGAGCTTCAGCAAAATGACAAGCTGGTTCCGTTTGTTTCATTTATTCCAGATTCCCACCATTAAAATAACATTGTTAGCCACGGTTGGGTTTTGACATATATGTAGATATTGCAATTATTGAATTGCCCTTGAACCTTTTGAATTTTGATTATTTAGCAATAAAAAATTGAGTAGATAAGTAAAAAACAGAGAATGCCGTCATATTTATTTTATATACCCATAATAAATTAATGAAATCACTTGAATGCCCCTTTATTTTAATCTAAAATACCAAAATTTAGAGGTGAATTACCTTAAACCCATGAAAATAAAAAAATAAAAAAATCCCTTTCATCTTCCTGGTTTCTACCCCGTAGCGCCGTTGTAGCCTCTTAGGCCACTTTGGTCATTCATACTAGCGAACAAAGGTGAGGGTCCTCGGATGATGACTAAGGCCTAAATGGCCCGATCACAGCGTGAAAGTTGTCAGTGTTGTCAAAGTGCCTCAAGCCAGGTGGTCGCCTCCAGCCAACACACAACCACCTGGCCAACCCCCGGTGCTGATCGCCCCACCTAACACCACTAGCTGCTTCTCGCCATCCCCACCAAAACCCCAACACCATCTGACATCGCCCATCACCCAAGTCTTCTCTCTATCATGACGTCGCATGACTCCACATCATCGCAAACCGCCACCATTAAGCATATCGATCAAACCTTGCCCCCTGCGGTGGTGTTGCTTTGGTTTTTGATTGAATTGGAGTTTGATTGAGTTATTTTTTTTGAATTAGAGTTTGGTTGAATTTGAATTCTAATTTGTTTGTTTGGGAAAATGATTTATTTTTTTCGCAAAATTCTAATTGGAAGATCACGAAAAAAAAAGGGGAGGTGGAGTTCCTTTTTTTTTTTTTTTTTAATTTTATTAAAAGCCTTTCGGCTTTGCTTTAAGATCAGGAAAGGGGTTTCCCTAGTGTTGCGCAATGGAAATGTGAGATTTCATTTAAGCTGAAGGTGATAGAAGAGGTAGTAGGTGGAGGTGGAGGCTTTGGTGGTGGAGGAGGAGGAGATGTTGGAGGTGGTTTAGGTAAAGGTGGAGGCTTTGGAGTTGGGGGCGGTTTTTGTGGCGGGGCTGGAGGTGATATTGATGGTGGTGGTGGAGTAGAAGGAGGAGGTGGAGTTAGTGGTTCTTGTGGCCACGATAGAGGCTTCGATGTTGGAGGAGGAGGTGATGGTGGTAGGGTGGAGGTGGAGTAAATGATCATTTTAACCTTTCACTGTTAAAATAAATGAAACGATCTTATTTTAAAGGTGAGAATTTAGAATAAATGAAACTAAAGGTATCAATTCAAAATTTGGTTAAACTACGGGTGAGATCATGTTGTTTACTCTTATTTTTTAATGTGGCAAGTTGGTAGCAGCCATGACCCATGGACCCATGAGCCATATTTCTTTTTAAACAAATTCTGCTGCCCGTGCACGCGGCAACCCGCGATGCTTTAAAATACTCAAAACTAGCTTTTTTTATGGTAGGTTCATGCAACGTAGCATGATTTGACTGGTCACTGTATCTCAATCAAAACATTGGAATTCGTTTGCTTTGCTTGTCCCTGTCCGTGTCCGGTGTCCCTCACTTCCTTGTCGATGTTTGTAACATGGGCAACTCAACAGTAATCATGGTAAAATCTATATATTCATGTGAATCCTGTTGGCTCAAATAATTTTCAAGACTTCTAGACGCTGATTGTCAGCCGACAATTCGTCTACAGGAACTAGATAAGGTACGTATGGAATTTACATGATTGAATTTCTCCCTAAATAGGTTATACTAAAGGCTTTATATAATAGATTATTATCCACTGGTAGATAATTTGATAATAAAAGAGTAAAGAGACATAATCTTTTAAATTTGAGTTTTTTTTATGATAAAAGAATAAAAGGATGATTTAATAAAGTTCTCTGAGTAAGTTCTCACAATTATGGATTGTTAATAAAATTGACTACTATTTACTAGAGTTTTTACCTGGAGTTCGAAGTGATTAGTGTATATATATATATGTGTGTGTTTTTTTTTTTTCTTTTTTCCCATCCAATCACTGTATCTCTAACACAAATGTAGCCTCTTATGAAAGGACTTCCCAAACTGGTAGCATTCCCAGTGACAATAATTTTAGGGAAGGCACCCATAAAAGCCAAAATTTCACCAGCTTCTTGCCAAAGGTTAATGCGGAATGAATTGAAGCAGATGCATTCTTTCTATTAATTTTGAAGTAAAAATTATATATAAGAGATAGCTTACTTCATATTCGGATGTTTGAAAAAAATATTCGAAAAAGTTGGATCACAAATTGTGGCTACTCTGCTTACAAGATCAAAAAAACAAGATAAACGAATTATTAAAAAAAAAAAAAAAAAAAAAAGCCTAATAAAACATTTATGTATATGAGATTCAGGTTCCTACGTGTAAATTTACTTCACGAGAGTTGACTGAAATGTTCATTTCCTTTTTTTGGCTCTATGTCAATTTGCAGACCTTAAAAATAGCAAGGTGAGTAAGTTCAAATTGACCCATATTTACTTTCATTTGATCTCCATGTTGCTTGAGCAGATGCAGGAGGCCGTTCCCAGGAGGCCTGATTGGTAAAGGAACCGTTAAAGTCTTCTGGTCGTGAGTAACTTTGTCCTGCTCCACTCGCCTATTATAACATCCCAAAATTCAACCAAGTGTTAGATTGCACTTGAGACAGAAAATTGTATTCCAAATGGAGAAGTCAGAATGGGCACTTGGGCAGTTGAGAACTGATTGAGATCAGTTGCCTCGCTTAGCAAGGTCCTTTTAACATTTAGTTGAACACTTTGGGGAGCTTAAAATGATCATATAATAATTTGAACCAAAAATAAATAACCACCATCTTAGCAACTACGTATAAGAATGAGGATTTTACTCATATGATACGAAATCATATTTCACATTTTTTTTCTTATCAAGGCTATGGCATAGCTTTTTCTCAAATCAACAGTAGGTCTTGACAATATCATATTTGGTCATATTAGTTTGTCCAAACAGACCTTCGATTCTCAAATCAAATTAATGTCAACTTAGGCAAAAAATGATTACTCACAGTTTCTAAGCATGCAGAAAGAATTGTCATGCCTGGCAATGCATCAATCCCACGCTGCATACAATCAAATTTAAGTAGATAAGTAGACATAAATGTTTATAAACTATGACAGATAAATAAATGAACTAAAAGAATAGAGAAGAAAGAGAGACAATTCAAAACACCTACCAGTTGCTCTGCTCGTGTCTTGTAAATGAAACCGCCACAACAGAATATGGCTGATGAGATGATGAATCTGCTCCATGACCATTCATCCAATTTTAAAGTTAAAATATCATTGAAACAAAAAACACACAATTGCATTTATCTATAAGTTGTAGAGGAAATTTTATTCAAAGATGATAAAAACATGGATGAGGTTAAATAATTCCTATACTTTAAATCTTAACAATCAAAGAAATTTAGATTTATAGGAATTTACTCTTAAGTTCAATGAATAGAACTCAACACCATTCTAATTAAATATGAAACCGCTGAAAGCCTACATAATGAACTAGTTAAGGTACACTTTTATCTTTATTACTAGTAAAGAGAACCATATGACAGTTTTCAACCAGGAATTGGCAACTTTACACCCCAAAAGTCTCATATTGACCATTTCCTACATTATCTCCTGTTAACATTTCACAAAGTTTTGTCCTTCCCTACTTTTATATTTGGCAATCTATGAGTTGGCAAACACAATAAAGGTAGACCACACTGCAAATGATTTAGATGCTAGCATCATATGGCAATTATTTCACTTTGAATAATCTGAAACATGCTCTAAATTCTTCTATGGCACAACATGAATGAGAGTTGCCATACATGCAAGAGATCACTCCAAAAATAGCCCATCCCCGCATAGGATCCGCTTCTTGATCCTGCCTATATTCTGCAAAGTTACAATAATTTAGTTCAAAAAAATTAGAACATAACATGAAAAATCAACCAGAAACTTAACTTAAGTTGAAGGCAACAACACAAGGTTTGGTACTAACACCTAACCTAACAAATATTTTTCTCTCTATCATCTTTTCTTATTGCTTATTTATAGAAATATCCATCTGTGACACAATTCAGGAAAATATCTGACATTATTTAGGAACTCGTTCAGATTTGGCGGATATTTAGGGGGACATTACAAATAGATATAAAGGGGCAAGTTCTATAGCAAACAGAATCACATAACTGCAAAAGAACGTTCACATCCAAGTACAAAGAACAACTGTTCACAAAGTGTACCAGCAGGATGAGCAGAATGAGAGAGAGCAACTTAGCCCAGTGAATCAAATATGAACTTACCACACATTTTTGTAAGAACAAACTGAATGGGGTCATAGCCCTTGACTGGTATGGTGATATTAACGTCATACAGACTATCACTAGCCCTCTCACCTGCAAAAGTTAAAAGTGAGATTCAAAAGATAATAGATGAAGAGGCATATCAACATCACAGCAAGAAGTAACACCCCTACATCTCCAATTCACAATCAGTATTGTGGGTGACAAAGTTGTAGGATGGCTCCCCATTGCCGCTGAGCCGGATAGGCTGACCTTGAGACCCTTTTCTGGAAAAACCTGAGAACACACACAAATAAACAGAGATGAAAAGATTAAGCAAATTTATTCAGTGGTAAAAGATTTCACTTCCACTAGACTAACAGGAAATAGGGTACCTTAAAACTAGGTTTTTCCACCAAAGTGGAAACAGAAGCAATAGCAGTTATATATAGGGCCACATGGGTCTGTTCAGTCTTAAAGCTGCATGGTGAGACATCAAAATAAAATAAATTTCAGTCAAAGAATAAAATATAGACAATAATCATAATACAGATCACATACCTGAAATCATCACGAGCCCTTTCAAAACCCAGTTGAGTCATGCCATTGTAAACCTTCAAAAGTTCAAGTAATTCCTTCATAAATTTTTTTCCTGTTCTCTGAACAAACTAACATATATAAGTGAGGTTTATATAATTTCTTACAATTTCCCATGATCGTGGATGAAAGCCAACAGTGAAGCCCTCAAATACCCGGGGACCTGGTTTCTCACATGGAATTGCAAGTTCAACAAATACTCTGCAACAGTTGAAATAAGAAACATTTAAATAAGTTAAAACATTAGACTTTCCAATTTCTTGGAAAATAAATAACAAATAAGTCAGCAATTTTCTCAAAATTATAGAAGAATCTTTATCAATTAAATTTATAAATACTGAGACTAGCTTTTCTTTTTTTCTAGTTTTCCCTAAAAGCAACAATTCTCATCCGTTATATTTCATAACCCAGATCTCTAGCATTCCAAACCACTTCACTGCTACAAGGCTTAAAAATAAATCATATTAATCTTTATGTAATTTCAATACCCTTAATCTAATATACTAAAAGTCCGAGCAGAAATATGAAACATAATAATCCATGAAAAATGTCAAAACCATCTCGTGCTCCACATTTTTCACTTTCGTAAGTACACAATCCAAATTCCAAGGAAGAAAAATCCATGTTGTCAAATGTATACCAAGAGACCCATCTATATAACTGCACTTACAAAAATTTATTATGAAGTTTCAAATTTTCTATGAAGCTCTCAAACGTTTCAATATAAAGAGGGTCTCTATTTCCTCACTAATGCATCTTCAGCAAATAACTCCAATTTCTAACATTGATATCATAGAAGTAATAACTTCATTTATATAACCAATGAATTGTAATCTACATTCTAAAAACTAAAAAAATGGATGTAATATAACATAAGTTGTTGCAAAGATGACCTGCACTTTGGCTCATCATAAGTAACATTGCAAATGCATCCAAGTCCACCTGAGATAAAGAAAAAAGATAACAACATAGGTCTTAAGTTACTTCAACTTACAAAGACACCAAAGACGTGAGAATTTAAAAATATTGTAAGAGTGCAACGAATCAGTTTTCAGCTTAAAAAAAAAAAATTCGAAAAAATAAATCAGCAGGGTCTAGGTTAAACAAAAAGATTTGTTAGCATTTATCAGGATAATGGAAGACCAGCAAAAGAAAATGAAAGGAATTCATATATTTGTAGATTTCAATCTTGTAATTTCATATAATCAGATTCGTTGTTTGAAGTCCTATCTCTTCACATAGCCAGTCCCCAACCAATGAAGACAGAGTGGATGCGTGTCAAGTTGAACAAAGAAAATGATGCTTTGTTCAGAACATAAGTTCACCAAATTCTCTTTCAATCTAATTATTCATTTGAATTTTTCCATAGTTTTTTCTTTAACAAGTTGAAAGATCAAGTATAACCTTTTACTGAGATATTTTCTTCCTGTTGTTACAATGCTTTCCACATTTCCTTTATACATTATTTGACTGCTCCAAAGAATGGAAGATAGAGCTCAGTTAAATCAAAGAGAAATTCACAAGATGCCAAATTGTCACGGAAGGGTGGCATCCGGTCATATACAGGCCAGAGAGAACCAGCCCCCAGCCCCCAAGAAGAAGAAGATTTCTTTATACATTTAACCTTTTAAATAATACTTTTTTATACCCCCTTTGGCTCACATGCCCTTCACAGTTATTCCATTTTTATGCCATGACCCCTGTAAATGACAATTTCTAGCTCCACCCGTATCAAACTCCATGCACATGAACATGATGTTGAAACTCAAAATGAAGATCTACCAACCTTTACATTGTCCGCTTAAACAATTCCCGCAAATAACATTTACCTGAAATTACATACCAAAAGGTACATCAATTGCATATATCAGAACAATGATGTACAATAAAAAATGTCAAAACCACTAATGAACTTGAAGAAACAATAAAGCTATGTGATTCCCACAATTCTTAACAACAAACCTGAGCTGTACGTCCCATCTTGTCATAACTTCGCTCACACTTCGAAAGGTCACCATTGTAAAACCCCTAGAAACACAAGGAAATTTAAATATATTGCAGTCCACAAATCTCATAGTAAGTATGACTTAGAAAATTTTTAATTTTACAGGTAATAACATAGAAATGTCCAAATTTTAGTTTAGAGTTTGGCAATAGTTTGAAACTCTCTGATAACCCACAGTGAGCAGACAAATCAAAAATCTTGAATTCCCAGGGACTGAAGGAATGACTTCCCAGTCTTGTGCAGAAATTGAATGAGAGATGGACGGAAGAGAAGAGGGACAATTTGAAACTAGTTCTAAAAGCAATTTTTTCTTTCCACACACATTCGCAGGGGGGTTGTGCGTGAACACAAAATAATTGCAAAATACTTGTAGATTGAACCTTTTAATATAATAAGAACAATCATATAACTCCATCATTAACGATTTCATTGTGTAACAATTAGTTTCTTGCACTTCAGGTATCATACTTAGACTATCATGCTCATGAGATTCTGGATATTAGCTCCTCTCTTGGATTGGCAGAAAAATGGATCTCAAATGCACCAAGAGAATTGCGATTTACCCAAAAAGCCTTCTCTTTCTGTTTTAACAATGCAAAACAAGCCAAATTTATCTTCCTATTTAGCATATTCTTTCACTTTTTGACTTTTTCTCTTCTTCAATGGATTCAAAATACTTCTTATTAGTGTTTTGAGTCTTAGATCTTATCATGATGTTACTAATCCCCACCAACACAACGAGAGAGAGAGCCTTTAACAATCTGGGCTTTCCTACCCATTATGCAAAAGGAAATCAAACCGCACAGAAAAGGCCAACTATGTATGAATAATACTAAGCACAACAATTGTGTTTGAACGGGGCTTTACTTGAACAAAGTCAACGTAGCCTGAACCAGGAACAAAATGGTTGAACTTATTAAATCGGCCAAAATCTATGTATCCCTCCTGCAAAATTCTGAGCATGTTAACACAATGTAAATTTTTTTCACATCACTTGAGAGTATGTATAATGTAAACAGAGAACTGAAATGATTTTTGAATGCATTGAAACTTAATAGAACAAACAGCTTTAACATTGTTCAGTAATAGATCAAAATGTAGAAATTCTTAAACCTAAATAAAGCATTATTAATGTACATAACTGCAGAGTGCAAAATTCTCTCACAGTGAAGACAATATCCACTGCTATCAAAACAGTCCCATTCAATCATTTTTTGCCATATTGAGCATCTAGTAATGCTCTCATCAAACATCAATAAAAACCCTTTGCCACATAATGGCAATGTCATACCTAATATAAACAATTACCATCACCATTATGATGGAAATAGACAAATAAAAAACTCAAATCTATATTTTCAATTACTTGTTAGTATATATATCAGTTTTATTTATAACTTGTGGATACTGAATCTGAGTTCTGGCTTTAGGGTCACGTTGACCAAATTTCTGAATGACATTGTCTGAGTGCATACTCCACTCTTAGGTGTATTGTTTAGCTTCATATTGACAATTTTTCTTCTTTAAGAGCGAATGCGAGAGATAGAGAAACAAAGAGAGAACTTCTTTGCAAAAACAAAATGGAAAGAAGGAAGAAATGGAGAGAGAACTTCTCAACATCGTTTTAGTTGCACAAGCGGTTAACTTCTTGAGACTTCTATGCTTAAAAAAAAAAGGGTTGATGAGACCAATAAAATGCAAATGCAGTTGTTCTCCATATAGTTTATCAGTTCCCAAGCACCTATTAAAGTAGTTAAAATGAAACAGTCAGGCTATGCCATGCATGTCTCAAGTTGTAGAAAACTCAACTACATAATGCCTAGAAATACTTTGCGAGCAATCATAAATATCTTCCTTTCCCAATTAAATGGTGGTGTCCACTAAACAATTGACATTGTTTAAGTACATGTATAAAAGTAATTTGTTCCAACTTAGCATAGGTAATTAATAGCAAGGAAGAAAAAGCAGAATAGCTTAGCACTTGAGAATATGGTGTTCAAGACTACCGCTTGTGATCTATTCTCTACATCTTTGCAAAATCGAACCACCAAATCACCACCCTGTAGCATGAGAAGCTTAAGATGTAATTCTCTCTTGACACTCAGCTAATTTGAAAAGAATATATGCCCATCATTGTTACAAAAGTTAGGTGAGGACATTACCTTATCTCCATACTCAAAATACTGTCCGATCCAGCTACTCTGATTGACAACTTAAGTGAAAACAACCTCATCAAACATTTAACCGAAATTTACGTGAATCATATAGCAGCATACAAGAAACTAACAAAGGATGAATTTCAGGATGCTTGGCTTTGACACTTTTCAGTAATTTAGGATACAAAATCAACAATACGACTAGAATTATCGAGAGCGTAGCAATTGGATCTCGGCACTACAACTGCAACAGCTCGGAATCCCATTATAACAACAGCTGAACGAAAACAATTAATCATAAACACAACCACAGGGCAAAATGAAATAATCTACATGATTAAAAGGCAGTCTTACCTGTGAGTATTACCCATAAGTTATTCACTAAACGCACGGTTAGAAAGCATTTCACACTCCGCATCGCTTTCGCTTCGATGGACAAAATTTCTACTTAAAATTTCAATAATACGGCGTAGAAATAAAGCCAACAATTTATTTTCGGCAATCGGAAAAACTGAGTCTGTTTGCCGTGTGCAGCTGAAACACGTCGCTATGAAATGTAACAAGTAAAACTGTTTTCAAACAACAAATTTTGCCGCAGGAAACTGTGACATTTCGTGTGTTACCTGAATGCGAAACCTTTCTTTGCTGGAGCTGGAACAGCGGGAGTGTAGATCAATTAAACTGCCGGTAATCTTAATGACTCAATTACCCTCGTATGCCGGCGAGTGCATAAATGGAACTATCGTGTTGTAAGTTGTAACTTCCGCTGTTGTTGTTTTTTTTTATTTTTTAGGATTATTTAACAATTAATTTCTTTAGATTCTAAAATTATTAGTCAATAAAAGTTTTAATAGTTATCCATATTAATAATTGAATAGCGATTCTAAATCTATATCTCTTAAATAATATACTAATTATTAATAAAGATTTTTAAATATATTACTCAAAAAATCATTTTAATCATATATTATTATCAGTAAATTATTCATTAATTGAGATATTAAATTCTTAATAAATTTGATTATATACTTTCACTCTCTCGACTATTTTATGCTACATTATCCATTAATTAAATCCCAAATATAGTTTATATAATAAATGCCCACGTTTCCATTGGTCTATTCCAATATGATCCTTATACCCCATTAGCCCATATTACTCCGGAAAGAATACATATGAATAAAAAGATATATCCTAAACTAGTAATACGATAACTCCACTTGAAAATTAAAATGTGGTTTAAATGAATAAATTACAATAACTAAGATGAAACACTTGTTTAAATGAATAAATATCATTTAAATTAATGTTAAATTAAGAAATATAAATTTAAACTACATTTTGGTTTAAACATAGGAGTTCGTTTAGTCAATAGTAGCCCAATACGATAGGTATTATTAAGTTTGTTTAAATGAAGAAATTTCTTAAAATTAGTGATGATATTTATTAAGTATATTTTTTTTTTTCACTTTCTTCTCCATTAAGATAGGTATTATTATTTATTTATTTACCTGTCATATTTTTTTCACTTTTCGTATGGCCTCTTACCACAGCAAATATGATTGTACCTAATCTGGGTATTACTTGCTTCTCAACAGCAAACGATCTTAGTATTAACATTTTGATTTTCATTTCACGATTTCATTTGATCAAATCCAAGTTACGCTACAGCCAACAATCAATTTGAATTTGAAATTGTAACCGACTTCGGCTACAGCAGTCTGCGCGAACCTCTTCTTAACAAGTGTCACAGCTCACAAAGCCAAATGTACACAATTCACCACCACATCCCAAAGGCACTAATCGAAACCCTAAAATGCCGATACTGGTAAAGACAAACTTCTCTAACTCAACTCAAGCTCCTGTTGCAACCGGAACAACAAGAAGAAGAAGAGATGGCGAAGCACTCGGCTGGGTGGTGGGTCCCGTTGCAGAAACGATGGCTTCTGGCTCTGCTTATCATGCTCTCCATCTCGACGGTGATTGCCTTCTTTATCAGAGCTGCCTTCGATCCCTGCGATCACCACCTGGAACTTGCCGAGAAACGAGTTAACTCAGTTCCGCAAATCTCTGCTAAACCTAGCCCCCTCAGTTTCATGAAGTCCAAACTCGTTCTCTTGGTTTCTCACGAGCTATCACTTTCTGGTAGCTTTTCATCTCTTATCATCATTCAGTTCACTATCACTTTCATTTTTCAAAGATTGTTTTCTAATTATGTAGTTTATCAAGTAACTAACTGTTTAATCAGTGTTTATTAATTTTCATTTAATAAGATTTACATTGTTTTTATAGCCTCAGCGCTATAAAGCACACCTGTTTGGCATGTTGGTTCTGTGTTTTATGCATAATTTGTTAGGAGAGGATTTATAGACGATTTTTATACATAACTGTAGACAGGCTTTTGCTATCTCTTGAGTGAAGTGGAGTATTGATATGGTTTAGTGGAGCTAACAGAATGTCATGCATAAATTCGTGACTTGAATTGAGCTGTTTTATTCATGCAAAGACAGTAGAACTATTGTCAGTTAAATATAAGTGATTAATGAAAATATGTTCAAGGAATATGCATTGGTTATTGATCGGGAAACATAAATTCAAGTTGGTTATGGCTTAGCTCATCCACTTAAGATAGTATGCATGAAACAAGTGAGTTCATTTCTTGTAAAACTGGGGAAACACGTGTGGTTACATTAATGGGTCCTCCCTCTATATTGAGTTTCATAATAAAACTAACTTGCATGATTTTAAGATTATTCCATCTGATCAACTCTGTGAAATTCCAGTAATTCATGATCTTGAGCTGGTGCATCGGTATTCTCAAGTACAATTTTTTTCAGTTCTGAGATTTTAGGAGGTAATTCGAAGATTATGAACAAGCACATAGTATCTATTCCTTCTTATTTGGACAATTAAAATTTGGGTCCATGTTGTTTATCATCTGTGTGTCCAAATGTAATGTTAGGAAGTTCACAATATTGGGTTGTCTGTATTAATGTATATAGGCTGTATGCCTTTTTCACCAAATACAGGTCGTCAAAACCCTAGTTCTGGGATGCGGAATAAATTGATCCTTCCAGAATGTGGACAGTCTCATTTAATGCTATATCTGTATTCCCAAAATTGACTAACTAGAGTTGCTATATTTTGTCGTATTCAACAAGAATCTTTCTTAGAATGTTACTGTTGTAGTATGTGCCATTTAAAGAATTTTGATGTTTTTGTAACCGTCAAAAGGTTGTTGCGACTTTCCATAAAGTTGTTATATGTTTGAAAAAACAGTGTACCAAACATTTGTTTGTAGCAAGGGGGTGTCGGGGAATGGTACGTTGCATGGCGGTTATTTTACCCCCTGTTGCCAGCTATTGGGTTGCTTCCTCCAAAAAGTAATAGGGGCAATCCAATGGCTGACATGATGGGGTAACATTACACCCCTGTACCTAGTAAGGGAATGGTATGTTGCAGGGCGTTTACTTTGCCCCCTCTTGCCAGCTATTGGATGGCCCAGGCGGGCAATCCAATAGCTGACGGGGTGGGGTAACATTACACCCTTGTACCTAGTAAGCCCTTGGCATGCTATCTTAGTTCTTTAAACATTTTGGCCATTTGTAATAAATGCTTATGTGGCTGAATATATTTTCATGAAGTATATGTAACAAATGTTTAAAATGGTTCCTTAAATTTACTTTTCCATGTTAGAAGTATTTGACGAGAAAATCTTCCCCTTTCTTTTATTTTTCCCTTAAACTTCCTTTTTGGTATATGTCCTATGTTTTTCGTAATATTTTTTCAGGTGGTCCGTTGTTGCTGATGGAACTAGCATTTCTATTAAGGGGTGTTGGTACTGAGGTTTATTGGATGACAATTCAGAAGCCATCTGAAGAAGACGAGGTGATATACAGTTTGGAACATAAGATGTTGGACCGAGGGGTACAGGTTAGAATTTAAATATCTTAACTATGCATTTAACATCTGTACTTTGTTTAATTGATTTTTATGGTTTTTTATTATTACTTCTTTGATTTAATCCAGTATTTAAGTGGTTCTTGATGCTATATTTTCAGAAATTACATTTAACTCTCAAAGCTGAGAAATAGAATTCTCTATTCTGAATATTATTTTTGTTGTCGATGATGTTGCTATGCTATCTCATTAATTTTTTTAAGTGTGAAGAGCTAGAAAACATTTCTAATAGAAGTAAAATGCTGATGTGGTTTACCGATTGGAGTCTTCTCTTTTCTTCTTAAAGTAGGATATTATTTTTGAGGGAAGTTCAAGGGGCTTGCACTTGGGAGAGGAAAGTGAGCTCAATGCATCCTTATTTTCATCTTTTCTAGGATCTATAGATGAACACTTTACTTATGAATTATGATACCCCTATATCAATTCTATATAGATCAACTGAATAGACCCATACCCATTATTGTTTTAGGTTGACTAGTGACAGACATTTTAGTATAGATATAGTCGAGTAAAACCACTCCTAGTTCGAACGAAAATTTACCATTCTTTTGGTTCTCAATTTGGCTATTTCAAAATATCTAGTTATGTTTAAACTTATCACCCTGATATCTTTTTATGATAGCTGAAATGGAAAGACACAACTTTTATGCTAAGAAGTATGGTCTGAGCTTGTAAATTACTTTATTTTCTCAGATATCTGACTTTTGGAAAAGTAGGTACCCCTAGTTGTGTGGTGAACTTTTCCTGTGAGTCAGCAACGTCAGCATCATGTTGAAGTGAATGGCCTACTGATGCTAAGCCTCTCATTTTTTACTACCTTCTGATGTGGATACTAATCTTACACGTGACATCACTTCTATTTATTGTAAATGTGGTTATTTTAATCCACGATAGTAAATACTGCCGCAGCACTTTTGTTGTGTTAATGTTGTTCTAGTCTCTCTCCTTCTCTCTGTGTCTGTGTGTATGCCCTTCGATCCTTTAAGCAGTCTTTGGTTTAGCATGCTTAGAGTTTGCATCATATGTCTAGGTAATAATTATTTTTATTGTTATTTTATGATTTTAGATTTTGCCCCATTTATGATTGCTCAGCATACTGTCTCTTGTTCATGAGTGGTCGAAATGATTTAAAATCTTTTCCTAGTTTCTAATTATTCCTTATAAGTACTGTTAGGTCATCTCTGCAAAAGGTCAAGAAGCTGTGGGTATGGCTCTAAAAGCAGATTTAGTTGTTTTGAACACTGCTGTTGCTGGAAAATGGCTGGATGCTGTTCTCAAGGAAGCTGTTCCTCGCGTTCTTCCAAAGGTATTGTGGTGGATCCATGAGATGCGAGGGCATTACTTCAAACCGGATTATGTCAAGCACCTTCCTTTTGTTGCTGGTGCAATGATTGATTCGCATGTTACAGCAGAATACTGGAAGAATAGGACTCGGGAGCGGTTGAGGTAAACTTCTAAAATTTTCTTGTTTACCATCTTGTTGCCTTTACAAATTCCCCCTCATGCCATATGTTCTTAGTAGCTTTAGAATATTATTTCTTTTTTGTTTTCATTTGAAGACATTTCTCAATTATAAACGTGTAGAGTTTCTAGGTTATTAGGCTCAAGTGCAACAAATCTCTTAATTTGGAAATTTAAGAAGGGCATGAAATGTTGGATACTTTGGTCATGCACTGTATTTTTTAATTTGCACTGCAATTCTTAGCATATTGTTGCCAAGACAATAAAGTATTCTTTCAGTTATGTCCCTTTCGAACCTTCATATACAGTCAGTTTCAGGGGTATTATCAATCTACGGCCAATTGATTAAAAAACTTTAGCAGAAGGACCACAAACTAACAAAAAAGGGCCTTTAAACTGAACAAAAAAGTTAAAGTTAACAGTAAATTAGGATAGTTTTGTAACTTAGTAACTGTAAGGAAACTAAGGTCAAACTAATACCCCTTGAATGCTCGATCAATAAGTCAACTTTTTAAGCTGTGGTGGACCAATTTCCAATTGCTTCCACTTCAACCTTAAAACTTTTTCTCAACTTCTCACCATAAAATAAAAAAAGCCTCTTCAAATTTTAAGAAAACTACATGCAATACTAAAACATGTGTTAAAACTAACTTTAGAAACAATCAATGTAATTAATACCTGTTGTTAAGCAAATTTTTAACAGCAACCTTGGTATTATCCTCTAAGAAAACTGCATATTTGCATCCTTTACTTTCAAGGATACAGTTATTTACATATTTTATTTTACCCACTGGTGTTAGCTCTGTTATGGTCATATATTGAATTATTGTTTTGTTCTCATGATGGAATGAACACCCAATTCAATTGAAAACGGAATGAAATAATATGAGCTCCAGGTGACATCCGAAATTCCTTACTATAAATGAAAGTTAAAATGTAAATTCACCTGTGTGACCCACTGTTTGCTCAGATTCATAAATTTCATGATCATTCTCTCCCTGCTAAAAACATAAAACCCAAGTGCCACTGTTACTATCAGCTAAGAATATGAAACTACTGAACAAAGAAAAAGATTTACATTAATTACTATGAAATTGGCAGATGCATACAATTTGACCATATTGTAATGAACCGTCAATGCGGCATTGACAATAAATACATAAGCAATGCAATATCGAGCAATAATCCCAAGGGAAAACTTATCCCAGAAAATGATGATATTATAATAAGTCTAGTAGTGATTAAGGCCATTGAAGGAAAGATGACTGAAAATAAAATAATAAGTATCATTAATATATAGACATAGCACTAAAGCTAATGATAAAATCTGAGACGTATTACCTGTTGTTTAACAAACTCTAAGAAAGGTACATGCAATATTAAACCTGTTTTTATAAAACTAAAAGTTATGCGGCAGTCAAAATTGGGAAAATTTTCATCATGAATCAAGATGAGTGAAAAAAAAAGTGAGACAGAGAGTGTTAAGTGTGTGTAGCAGTAATGAGGGAAGACTGAACAGCGTGAGCAGCTGGTGTGATGGGATTTAGAGAATTGAGCGGAATTCTATTAATGATTTTGTGCCTTAAATCCTTTTATCTATACCTAAATCTAATCAAGTATCTGTAGTGGAGCTTCTATTTCTGTTTATGATTCTAATCCATGTTAATAAGAACTTAAATAGATTTAGAACAAGAAGTCAAGGTCACACAAATTTGATTTGATAATCGATGGACTAACAGAAGGTGGAAGATGGGTTTTCAGAAGATGTTTGACGAAGGAGGAACTTGTTATATGTGATTTTTTGTTCTTGTTGAAGGGCAAAGTAGGAATATAATTTATTTTAGGGTTGTTACAGTATATTCAGTGTTATGACATGTCACTCAACTCTACTGTCAGTGTTATTAGAGTAATTGCCCTATTTCACTGTTAACTTTAACTTTGTTGTCCAATTAAATGGTGTTTTTTAGTTACTTTCAGGCCTTTTGATCTTTTTGTTAAAGTTTTTATAACAATTAGCCTTGAATTGAAAATATCCTGCTAGTTTAAATACAATATTATCGGAGTGCATTCTTGAATGCTAATCTTAGCTAGAAATCATAGGGTGTGTGTGTTTTATTATTTTGAGCAGTATTTTTGAAATATTATTGTTAAGTTGATTTAGGTTATTATTACGAGGTAGGATTTGAAAATTAACAAAAAAAACCTCTAGGTTTGTTAATTTAGCTAAACACCCTTAATAATAAAAAGTTTATAAATTGACAAAAACACTCTCACCCACCCACAGTTGCTAGATTCCGGCCACCACCGTCGGAATCTGGCCGGAATCTGGTGGCCGGTCGTGCGCTACTATGACATTTTCTGGGTAGATCTACCACGAATCTGGTCGGAAAATGCCAGATCTACGGTCGGATTTGACGGCCAAAGATATGGTCGTTGTTGATGGTCAACGATGGCCATATATTAGCCGTCATTGATGGCCAGATGTGGCCTTGGCTGTGAAAAGGCCAGATCGGTGCACTACCAGCTAGATCCAGCCGGTAGTGCACTATTATGCCAGATTCTGGCTACCTTCCGACGGTGGTTGCCGGAATTTGACAAATGTGGGTGGGTGGCGGTCTTTTTTTTTTAATTTATAAAACTTTTTTGTTGGGGGTGTTTAGTTAAATTAACAAACCTATGGGGGTTTTAAATGGTTGAATATTATAGGATATGATTTTGAGAATAAGGAAACAAATATGCATTTTTTTCAGAATAGGAATAGAGTATTTTGAAAAAAAGGAAACAAACGCACACATAGATTTTCTGAAATCAAGGATCTGCCTATTCCGTTGATTGAATGTGTTGAGAAACTATAACCTGAAATGCAAATATGTAATCACTCATTCACTCTACCGTGTTATTTATCTTTTCCTAGACATTTGGCTGAGTTCTTTACTGAAATATCCTTTCCAAATTTGACTGTGCAGGATTAAAATGCCTGAGACCTATGTTGTTCATCTTGGAAATAGCAAGGAACTTATGGAAGCTGCTGAAGACAGCATTGCAAAAAGAGTTTTACGTGAGCATGTCCGGGAATCTCTTGGAGTGCGAAATGAAGATTTACTTTTTGCCATAATAAATAGTATGATCCTTGCTACTGAGACCATATTGTTGCTGCTGCATCTTCATTTATTTAGATCAAGTTACTTCTTTACTTAAAATTGATTGTCCACTCTGATTGAGCTAGTAGAGTTTGCCGCACCACTGCAGCTCTTTCAGTTGTAGACATGATCTTCATTTATTTAGATCATGTTACTACATCACTTAAAATTGATTGTTTGCTCTGATTGAGCTAGTTGAGTTTGTCAAACCACTGCAACTCTTTCAGTTGTACACATTATCACTGCCTTGTGTTTGTGGCATGTGCCCAATTGAAGAGGATGCTAAAATTAGTTTTCAGTTCACTTTTTGGTTCTGATTTTCCTTTTCTTGCTGTCGTCATGCATTATCACTAAAAACATTCACCACCTTGCTTATCATTCCCTTCAATCATAAAGATACTGCTCCAAGGGTGCTGGTTAAATTCTTATGCTGTTATATATTTATATATTTGTGTTATTAAAAAATTAAAATAATAGTTATGTTTATATTAAACAGTACTGAAGTTCTTTTTAATCCCAGGTGTTTCACGTGGAAAGGGACAGGATCTATTTCTTCGTTCCTTTTATGAGAGCTTGGAATTGATAAAAGGAAAGAAGCTACAGGTGCCATCAATGCATGCAGTGATTGTAGGAAGTGACATGAATGCACAGACCAAGTTTGAGTCAGAAATAAGGAACTTTGTAGCACAGAAGAAAATTCAAGATCGAGTTCATTTTGTGAATAAAACTTTGACAGTGGCCCCTTATCTTGCTGCGATCGATGTTCTAGTTCAGAATTCACAGGTGCTTTTGTTTGTGTCTGTATCCTTCTTTATTTCATTGTTAAATCTGCCCCAAATTATTATTAGCTAATTACTAGCTTCTTTGTCTTCGATATTTATTTGAAACCGTGTGTTTCTTGTTTACTGTGCCTGTTGATGCTTTAATTTTTTTTTTTTTAATAAGAATCTATAAACTATGAATTATATTAATAAAAGGTGATTTTATGTTTACTTTCATTCAATATATGTGGATGTATATCAGGCAACAAGTAAGTTGTGCCTTGGTTAATGGCTCACCCTGTATTTGCTGTGGTGGTAGGAGGATTTTGTGTTATGTTACTTGATAAAGTCCCTCATGTATGATTTGTATTCAGATTTCCAATGTGCTAGAAGGAATTGGCATTGTAGCAATTTTGAAATCATATGATACGAAAAAGAATCGAAAATATAATTCAAAATTCATGAACACTCAGAGAACATGATTGTGCATCTGAGTAGCAAGACTTTTGGGCTGTAAAAAAATTACAGGGTTGTTCGCTTCAATAAGTTTAAACATTTAACAAAAGAATTCCAAGTTTATTGTGTGAACCACTTCATGTCCTCCGAACAGGTAATAACAACACATATGAAGGCTTCTTTCTTATCTGTGGTCAGTGGCTTATGGATTTTGTGTGTCTCCTATTTTAGGTGCACCAGTATATGATTATCTTAATTTTTCATTTTATTGGATTCTATTCTTGTTAATTAATTAATGTTCTTGTTTTGGACATTTTTATTTCTCTATAATGTATTTTTATAGGATTTTTATGAGCCTTTCCCTCACCTGTACTTCACGCAGGCACGAGGAGAATGCTTTGGGAGGATAACCATTGAAGCCATGGCATTTCAGTTACCAGTACTGGTATGTAGTGAACTTTCCTTGGTGTATTTATGTAGTGTTCTGTTAAGGTTCTATTAGTGAGAGCTTGTTTATGATATTACAAATATGACTTGTAACCAAAACCTATGATATATCAGGGAACAGCAGCTGGCGGCACCACAGAGATTGTAGTGAATGAAACAACTGGTTTGCTGCATCCTGCTGGAAAAGAAGGGATCACTCCTCTTGCTAAAAACATTGTGAAGCTTGCAACTCATGTCGAGCGGAGACTTACAATGGGGAAGAGAGGATACAAGAGGGTCAAAGAAATGTTTTTAGAAGAGCACATGGCAGAGAGAATAGCTACAGTACTGAGAGAAGTCTTACAGAAGTCTAAGAGTCACTCACATTAGATGCATTTTAAGGTACTTTTAACCATCAAGCAGATCCCATTTCAACCAGAACTGTAGTGTTGAACATTGTGTCCAAAATTATGTAGACTAGAATGAGAGCTCAATTTTCTATAGTGTGATGTAGTTTTCTATTTATGTTACCGCTGCTTACATGAAGCGCTGTACATTATGTACATATAAGGCGTCTTGTTAGCCTTTCAGTATAGATATGCCTTTTTCATTTAGATTTAATTTATAAAAGCTCAGTTGTGTCACAGACTTTGAACTGTGTTTTAGCTCATATGGTTAAGACCAATTGGGATTGCGTGGATAAGTGAACGGTCTCCGGTTTAGATGGATGCATTGATAATTTAAGTTGGGGACGATAGTAGTGTGATGCTGCGTTAGCCTCTCTTGATAATTAATTGAGAAATTGAGATATGTGTAAACTATCTCGCTTTAGTTAAAAAAATAAAACCTCAGAGGTGAAATTAGGAATTTACTTTTGGCAGGTTGGAAATTTTTTTTGAAACAAGAGCTAAATTAAAAAAGAAAATATATCTTAATCATGTAAATTAATTTGATAAATAAACTAAAAAGTGGTAATATACTTTCTTTTTATTGGAGAAAAAATAATTATTTTTTTAGTGAAGATTGACATATAAATTGTAATAATCAAGGAAGAATTATGAATTTTTATTTGATACGTAATAATAAACATGATAAATTTTTTAAATAAAATTAATGTAAATGTATATAAAATAAGTTAATTATTTTTAATATATGAGTTATAAAATTAATAGGTTTTTAATTATGGAAAGATATCGTATTAATGTTATTCAAATAACAGTAATGTTATGTGCACTAATCAAATTGTACTAATCCAAGTATTAATAATTAAAATTTTAAATTTTTTTTTTTAATTTTTGGGAGAAACTGACGTGACAATAAAAGAGGCCAGTCACGTCAGTTAATACTTGTATGGTTTTTGGTCAGTAGACACGGGATTATTCTTCAAATAATAGTCTACATCAAATATAAAACCATTGTTTGTTTTTTTTTTTTTGTTTTCAAGTTTTATTAAACTCAGCCAAGTCTCATGGTTCTTTTTCAAAAAATTTGACCTGGGCTGCATTTGCTTCTGCCCTGCCCTCGACCAAACTCATCCCCATGCTCCCTAAAATTAATGTTCGCATGGATTCCTACCGTCGTTTTAGTTTTAATAGATGAAATATAGAAACTACTTTATTTGGGTGGCTCTCAATTGTGGTTATTGCTCACAAGGATGCTTGATGCTTGTAAGCGATTTGGTTGTGTGGTGTCCGAGGAGAGAAGGTATTGACCTATTTCTTTTACGCTTTATGCGCTTTTAAATGCATGTAGTGAGGTTCTTAATGTGATTTTGGGCTGGAAATTATATGTTCAGACCATTTTGATTGGTGATTTTGTGTGTGCTCTATATGTTGGTAATACCATGATTGTTATAAATGTGAAATGTGAGTTTTTGGATTGTGGGTGTAAGATGTTTGATGAAATACCTGAGAAAGATGTGAGTTAATAATTGCATATGCCAAGGTGGGATATGGAATCTGCTGTTATATTATTTGATGGGGTTATAGTGGCTTGGCTTGCAATGGTTACCAACTATGCACGGAATGCTAAGCCTAGAGATGCGACAGAACATTTTGAGAGCACGCAAAATACCGGTATTGAAACTGATGAAGTTACTTTGGATGGCGTTATTTCAGTGTGTGCTCAACTGGGTGCCTTCAAGTATGCTAACTGGATTAGTGATATAGCTGAGAGATCAGGATTTAGGCCTCCGAACATTTTGAGAGCACGCAAAATACTGGTGTTGAAACTGATGAAGTTACTTTGGATGGTGTTATTTCAGTGTGTGCTCAACTGGGTGACTTTAAGTATGCTAACTGGATTAGTGGTATAGCTGAGAGATCAAGATTTAGGCCTATGAATATAGGCTTAGCATTATGTTCATAGCTGGTAACCATTGCAGGCCACGATACAGTATCCTTCAAAGGTAACCCATCAAACAATATACCAGTAGATTCCANTTATAGTGGCTTGGCTTGCAATGGTTACCAACTATGCACGGAATGCTAAGCCTAGAGATGCGACAGAACATTTTGAGAGCACGCAAAATACCGGTATTGAAACTGATGAAGTTACTTTGGATGGCGTTATTTCAGTGTGTGCTCAACTGGGTGCCTTCAAGTATGCTAACTGGATTAGTGATATAGCTGAGAGATCAGGATTTAGGCCTCCGAACATTTTGAGAGCACGCAAAATACTGGTGTTGAAACTGATGAAGTTACTTTGGATGGTGTTATTTCAGTGTGTGCTCAACTGGGTGACTTTAAGTATGCTAACTGGATTAGTGGTATAGCTGAGAGATCAAGATTTAGGCCTATGAATATAGGCTTAGCATTATGTTCATAGCTGGTAACCATTGCAGGCCACGATACAGTATCCTTCAAAGGTAACCCATCAAACAATATACCAGTAGATTCCATATCCCACCTTGGCATATGCAATTATCAACTCACGTCTTCCTCAGACATTTCATCAAACATCTTACACTCACAATCCAAAAACTCACATTTCATATTTATATCAATCATAGGATTACCAACATATAGATCAGACACAAAACCACTAACCAAAACGGTCTGAGTATGTAATTGCCAGCCCAAAATCACATCAAAAACCTCACTATAGGCCTTAAAAAGCGCAAAAAAGGTAAAAGAAACAGGGTCAGTACTTTCTCTCCTCATACGACCACACAACCAAATTGCTTTCAAGCGTCCTTGTGAGGAATAACCACAAAAAAGAACTGTCCAAAGAAAGTAGTTTCTATATTTCACCTGTTAAAAACTAAGACGACGGTAGGAATGCATGGGAACATTATTTTCAGGAGCTCAAAATGTGGGAGTTTAGAGGATGCATTTAAGGTTTTCGAAGGGAGAAGGAATGTGTTATAGTTCAATGATATTTGGGTGCTCATGGAAATTTTACAGTTATTTCATGAGGTGTTAGAAGACATTTTGAACAGATTAAAGGCTCATGGATAGTAGCTAAACCTCGGTTTTGTGCCTTATGATGTGGCTGATCAGGAGAAGTGTACATTAATTTTGATGAGGAGAAAGTGTATATTAATGACTCACAGTTAGAAGCTGGCTTTGGCATTTGAAGTGCTAACAATAGTTATTGGCTGCACCGTAAGAATTATGGAGAACATGTGAAGATTGCCACATGTTTATATGTGGTGCATCTCAAGTCACAGGGATTGAGATTATTGTGAAAGATAGCATGAGATTCCACCATTTCCGAGATGGTAAATGTTCCAGTCGTAATTTTTGGTGACTAAAGGTGGGATTTGAATGTTGCTTGAGGTGTTATCTCTCACAATAACCTCACTCCCTTTGATTTGCTATGTTGTAGTTGTTTGGCAAAACACTGGTGCTATTGAAGTCTCACCATCATGCAAGCGGTGACTTAGAAGTCAACTGAAGCAATAAGCTTGAATTTTGGATCAAATCAATATTTGATTTGGTGCTTCATGGACTATTAAGTTGAGAGTAACAAACCAGAAATGAGTGACTAAGCCAGTTCATTTTACCTCCACAAGGAAAAATCATTAGTTAAAATGTGACCATAAAGGCACATTACATGGAGGATCTGACGAGGAAGGATCTGGGTGTTAGTTGCCACCATGAGGTTACAAGGAAAGATTTTGTTGATCTCATGACCACAAATACTAGGAAAAAGAGGATCTAAAAGGCAAAAAAAAAAAAAATTTTGTACAAGTTGGCCGAAGCTAGATGAAAGTTACTGTGGATAACATTGTTGCCGACTCTTCATCTACGTGCCTCTTCGTTTCTACCCGATCAAGTTTCATCCTCTAAGAATGAAGATTCAAGTCCCTGTCTTTATGCTGCAAAGTCATGTTTGATGGTTGATGGCTTCCTTCTAATTGACTTAAGAAAACGTGTGTGGTCCTCAAGTCTTTTGCTATTGAACTTATTTATCTGCTGTGCTCCGCCAAGCTGAGATATACTGATAGTTTTAATACAGGATACTAAAATATTATACCAGACTGTCTACCCATTGGGCATCATGAACCATAGAAGACTTCCCTACAAACATAAAGCTTTCTGAGGTAAAAGAAAGCCAATAATGGTTAGAGATTATATCTACATAGATTATCTCAACCGAAGATTTGTCCCTGAAATGAAACTATGAATGGTCGATCATTCAGAAGCTGCATATTTCGAAGACACCTATTGAGATTGTTCAGGAAACTTCTCCTTGATCATCTCCACCATTCCTTCCTTGTCATGGTGCTGCCGTCGCCCCTCCCTCATCACATTGTGACCTCCAGGAGTAGTGATTATGCCACCAGGCGGCTTCATTTTTATCTTATCTTTCATACCCTTCTTCCTTATCCCACCACTTCCAATTTCCTCAGACTGCTTATTATTCACCAAAAGAAATCAGTTCAAAAACTTCAAGAATTGTTTATTTAAGCTACACTTACTGCTAAAATTAATATACTGCTCTGCCTTGTAGCTCAAGTTAGTGACAGTTCGAAGAACAAATCAGATAGATGTGTAGGAGTTTTACTTACAGAGCTGGAGTTAGAGCTTGAGCTTCCTGAAAGTTGAACCCGACGATGCCCTTGGTCGTGTTGATCCCCTCCGTGACCCTGCAAGTCGGCCGCCATGGTGGTATTGAACCAACGCTGTCAGTAGTTTCAGTACGATAAATTGGGTTGCCATCTTCATCTGTGTGTGGAACTGAACTGTACTGATGCTTCTGGAAGTGTGCCATGCTCAAGGTGATTAGCAAGAATTTATAAAACAAAATCGCAAGACTGAATTTAATTCAGGTAAGTGTCTGCTTCCTAACTGGAGTTAAAATGATCCTTAACGTATAATATATTGGCAAGTACAGATCGACATAACTGATTAACACGTGGCCATACATATATGTTGATGACAGTGACACGGCGCTCTGTAGAGGTTGTGGTATTACGTTTTCCCCCCGAACTGTCCTTTGGCGGTTTAAGATTACAAGATTTTCCATGCTGGCTGATTCCATAACAATAGATAGTTTTGCTGTGGTATCTGTTAATAAACTGCCGTGTAAATGGAAAGCCAATTAACCCACCCTTGGTAGCTGTAGCTCAAATGGTAGGACCAGTGGTTGAGTGTGTGGTTAAGACGGACAGTTTTAGGTTCGAATCGTTTTGGCTCTTAAAATTTAAACAGGTGATTATAATGGTGACCTATTGTGCTAGTCAAGTTTCAAGTTCGAATTGTTTTGGCTTTTAAAATTTAAACAGGTGATTATAATGGTGACCTATTGTGCTAGTTATATTTACAGAAATACACCTACACAGTTGGTGATTATAATGGTGACCTATTGTGCTAGTTATATTTACAGAAATACACCTACACAGTTGATTCTGATGATAGGATGTTGTACTAATCACCTACGAATTAATAGAGATAGACCTATTGTGCTAGTCATATTTGCAGAAGAATTAATAGAGATAATCCTATTGTGCTAGTCATATTTACAGAAATACACCTATATAGTTGATTATGATGATGGGATGTTGTACTAATTAAGGAATTAATAGAGATATTTACAGAAATACGCATACGCAATTGATTCTGATGATGGGATGTTTTACTAATCACTTACAGGAATTAATAAAGATATGCACAAGTTGGATCCTGACTTCTTGTTTAAAAAAAAAAAATAACCAATTAACCTGTATTTTTTAATTGGATTTTGCTTGAAGCATTACTAAATGTTCCTGGATTGAATGATCGTTGCATTGATCTAGTAGTTTTATACAAATGTGGACGAATGTAATGATCTTACTATGCCATTATCTGTTGTAGAAATTGTTGATGGTAGTGGCAACCGGCAAGACGAAGACCCATTTGACTAATTTTTGTCATGCCCAAGATCCCAGTCAGCTCTTACCCCAGTATTGGGTCCATTGATATAGGAGACTGCTGAGACCCATCCTACTTAAACCCACCATATGTAGATATCACGGTCCAGTCTTGGTGCCTATACAACAACAAATAAGAGCGATTTCGTAGTTTTAAGATTAAACGACTCTATTTTTTTTTTTTTTTTAATGACTAGCATTAAATGAAAATATAAAATAGGTAATTTAAATCCATAGTTTTACACTTTTAAGGATTAAATTTATATTTTATACCTTTCAGTTTATATTCTATGGATTCTCAAGCATTAATGCAGACAAAGGTATAGTAATGCTGGTTACATATACTTGACATAACATGTTTATTAACCATAACATGCACTAACAGTACATAATACAAAACAAAATACAACAAAAGACTAGCTGCCCACACCACACGAGTACATTTTTAAGGCTTATTACACCATAGTGGATCACTTGTTGGCTAACAACACAGCGATTCCTTCACAATGTCACTCTTTTTATATAGAAGCTGTATATAACGAAGATAGCTGGACCTAGTGATGGCGTCCAGGAAGCTTTTCCTTGATCTTCTCCATCATTCCTGTCTTCTCATGCTGATGGTGCTGCCCCTCTCCACTCACATCGTAACCACCAGGAGTGGTGGTTGTGGTGGCTTGATATCTTTCATCTTTGTGCCCACCGCCTGGCAACTTTTCCTTTATCTTGTCCTTCAGACCCTTCTTCCTTCTCCCACCATGTCCATCATCCTCAGACTGCATATTATTCATTAAAAAAAAAAAAAAAAAAAAAAAAAATTGTTCAACAACAAAAAGATAAAAGGAAAAAGAGAAGATGTTGACTTCTTAGTTAAAGCGCTGCCTATGCTCTATATGTGCAGTGCCAATTAATAAAAAGATCAGCACAATAAAAATCAATTAAACTAAAGATAAAGAGTATTGACTCACGGAGCTAGAGCTACTAGAGCTTCCAGAACGTTGAAGGCCATGATGCCTTTGGTCACGGTATCCCGTACCTAGGTGGGTGCCAGCCACTGGTGCAGTACCATGACCCCGCATGCCGGTGCCGGTTGCGGTCGTGTTATCGAACCCGGCAGTTCCATACTCGCCAGTAGTGGCGCTAGACTGATAAACTGGGTTCCCATGTTCATCAATCTGACGAACTGGGTTGCCATACTCGTCTGTATGTGGAACAGCTCCATATTGGTTCTGATAATGCGCCATTTCCAAGGCAATAAGCACGAAGTAATAACTAAAAAGCTATGTATAGTAAACAGAAACCTCCGGATTGAATTCTCACTTCCAAGTAACTAAGCTGGGTTATGCTTCAAAACATGACATGGGTTTATTTATATACTATATGTATATGGCAAGGTAAAACATAGATTAATGGGCATGGGCACCCTTTCATTACACATGGCATGTATATTAGTTCATGAGCTGCCACGTTATCAGTAAAGGGATACGTGGCAGTTTTTGGCAGTCAATAGGTTTCTCCTATGAGAGTATTTCAGATAAGATTGAGCATTATATTAATTCAAGATCTTACAGTGTTTGGTTTGGTGACACGTCTCTCGCACATGAAGGTAATGAACGACGTGTACTGTTTCCAGAATGGAGTTGCTGTGCTTGCATGGTGATAAATTTGGTAAACAAACTTTTGGATAGATACTTATTATTATTAATATTTAGAGGTGGGAAAAAAGCCCGAGCCCAAAATCCGGCCCAATACCAGGGACCGAACTAAGCCCAAGGGAGGAGGGACCGAGCCTACGCAGCTCTGAACCCATTCTTAGGACCGCACCTTGAGGGCCCAGGCCTAGGCCTTGCCCACTTTAACAACTCATGGTTACTTTATATGATTTTTTCGTCATGTATAATGAATGTAATTTTTTGTCCCATTATTTTTTTTTTCAAAATATAATTATAATAAAAAAAAATTATTTATCTTCTTCTTCTATACTTTTGCTTTAAAGTTTTATTTTTGCAATTATTAAAAACAAAAAATTAATTTAAATAAATTAAAGTTAATAATAGAGTATAAGACTAAATCAATCAATAACGTAATCATATATTTATGGATTAATTTGTTTACGAAGTCATAACCTCAAAGCTCTTATAATCAAGTAATCACTTTTAAATTAATAAAATCTCTAGTTTTATTCTCACTAAAAAGAAGACGCCCGGATCTCAGCTTTCTTCAAAGCTCTTACAATTAAGTAATTACTTCTAAATCTCATCTCGCTAAAAGAAAAATCTGATCTTATTCCTATTAAAAGAAAACACCTGATATTACAAATTTCCATTTGGTTTGATTAATTTTGTGCTTATTTTGATTTAATTATTAATAAAGTCAAACATAAAGGTTTGAAGTAAAAGTATGAAAGAAGAAAAAGAAAGTTTCTTAATTACATTTATATCCCCTCTTAAACTTGATGATAGGGTTAAAGAGTGGAAAATTATGGAGACTAAAAATCACTTCTCCATAATATAATCACAGTTGTGTTAATGACTTAACTAAAAGTATACACAATGGAGAAAATGAGGGTAGATTAAGGAAAGTGATTTTTAGCCTTCACTATTTTTGTCTTTAACCCCATCTTTAAGTTGGCTGAGGATATAATTGTAATAAAAAACAAAATTCTTCTTCTTTCGTCATTCTTTTATTTCAAAGTTTAAGTTTTAATTTTTTGTTATTAAAATTAAAATTAAATTTGAAACAATAAGAATTAATAATAAAGCATGAGACAAAATTAATCAAACCAGAATTTGTGATACTACTGGTGTTTCTTTGTTTTTTTAATGGAAATGAAACCAATTTTTTTTTTTTTTTTGGTCAATAGGAGATTTAGAATTGATTGCTTGATTGTAAGAGTTTTGAGGCCTAGATATCACAAGTTTCTTCAATGAGAAATTGTGATACTGGGTGTTTTTTTTTATAGGAATGAAATAAGATTTTTTCTTCTGTCAAGACGGATTTAAAAGTACTTGATTATAATAGCTTTGAGGTTTTGATTTCATAAATAAATTAATCTATAATTGTAATTGTATAAACGGAGCCTAGAGGTAATTTTATAGGGGTTATTAATCTTTTACATTGAAGAATGTAGCTATAATTGTAGGGGGTTTCGTAACTTTTTAGAGGGTTTTAATAATTATGTTTATATATAGGGGTTTATAATAATTTTACAACTCTTATATAATGTCCCCGGCCCGGACTTTAATGGCAGAACTTGGACCAGATTTTAGGCCTGGGCCCGAGGTTCATATATATACCCGAGCTAGGTAAAACATGGTTTGGCCACCCAAGCTAAGTTTTTGGTAGAGTATTTTGAGTAATATTTTTGAAAAAGTTGAGTTGGGTTATTATTACGAGAACAGGATTTAAATTTGAAAATGTCTTTGGTAAATTTTTGGAAAACTTTTTCTGAAAATATCTAGCTTATTTTTTAATCCCCTACATTTGTTAATTTAGCTTAACACCCCCTACAATAAAACATTAAGAATTAACAAAAACACCCACACTCACTCATTAAATGCCGGGAGTTGGCCACCATTGCCAGAGGGTGGCCAAAGTTGCCGGAATGGCGCACGATCGGTTGGATTTGGTTGGTCACGCACGACCACCACATCCAGTTAGTCATGTGTTATTTCGGCAGATTTTTTTTTTTTTTTTTTTTTGGGGTAGGTAAGCTTTCATTAGAAAAATAAAAAAAATGTATAAAAGACGGTCAACCTACCTCAGGGCAATCCCCTGGGTTAGGATGCAAAAAATAACCCATACAAGATTATGAAAAACACAAAAAACAACTCTTCCTACCTCGGAACATGTCCCGGGTTAGGAACAAAACCAAAGAAAGCCAACGCCCACCTTCTAGGCTTCCACCCCTCCCAAAAGCATGGAAACCTCCCCCAGGGCTTGCCTTGGCCAACCCAACTCTTTAGAGCCAAAGTAAACACCCTTACTTACATAGCCCTCCAAGTGCTCGACAAATAGCCTCAATAACAAGTTTGTCCTAAGACCTTACCACCACCAAGACCACAAAACCCAGAGTGATCACTTGTAAAAAATAGACATTGGTAACCCCCAAATTTGTACAAGCCTTCTATTTCCCGTGGTCCTCTTCATCTTCCTAAGCTCCATGACCTTAACCCTCACCATTAACCTAATGGTATTGTGAATGGTTAGCGCATCTTTACACTCTCCTCCAAACACCTTACTGTTTCTCTCTTTCCAAATCCAATAGACAATGGCATTAAGACACAATTTTGCCAAAAAATACTTGAACTTATTTCTCTTCCAATTTAAGGATAAGCCATGAATATAAGCATTCCATGGCACCGCCCTATAGCCTATAGAGCTAATAGCAAGGATCCGACTCCAAATAGACTTGGAGAAAGGGTAGGAGAAAAAGAGATGATCTAAGGTTTATTGGGCCGAATTACAAAAACAACAACATGAGTTTTGAAAAATGCCATACCTCTCAAGCTTATCCTTTTTGTTGAGTTTCCCTTTCATAGTCATCCAAAGAATCATAGCATGTCGTGGAATGGATTTGAGGAACCACACAAGATGGGACCAATCTATCTTAGCTTTCCTCAACTTTATTTTATTCCATGTCGAATTAATAGAGAAACCCTTGGTCATAGACTTGATCTAAACAATTCTATCCTCCCTTATAGTGGGATTAAAATTAACCAACATTTTCATTTCCAACACAGCACAAGAGTTTGCCACCGGCCATTTCCACTCATCTTGATTGCAAATCTCACTAACTCGAGTATCATTTGATAATACGGATTCATAAATAATCCGAGGACGATATTTGAGGGCAAGCGAGCCCAGATTGTGCCAATTATCATGCCAAAGCCGAATATGTCTCCCATCATCGACCTCACACTTGATTCTCAACCTAGCCTCTCCTCTAAGCTTAACAATGCTCCTCCAAGCCCAAGAACATCACGGGGAATGGGAATTTTCCCAAAAATTTTGCTCTAAAAAAGATAAGTTTTGATCCAAGAAACCCATCCACGGAAGGATTAATTTGGGCAATGTTCCGAATATGCCTCATCATGGCCACCTTTTTTCATTCCTTAGTTCTTATAATGCCTAGACCCCCCTCCTTTGAAACACATACATCTTCCCAAGCAATCTTTGCTTTAGTTTCTTCAGATCGAATCTGGACCATAAGAAAGCCCTAAAGGAAACCTCAATCTCCTTGTGCATCTCGAGGGAAGGATGAAAGTTGAGGGCCAAAAAACTTGGATTCTCCACAAGATAGCTTTGATGAGAATGACTCGTCCTGCGTAAGACAAAAACTTACTTTTCCAAGAATTAACCCTTGGAAGGATTTTGTCAATAAGAACTTTGCAATTAACATACTTAAACTTACTTATAATAAGAAGGACATCCAAATACTGGATCGGGAGATTTCCTGCTCTAAAACTGATAACTCGCAAAAAATTCTCTTTCCTCCTTGAGACTCCGGAACAAAATATGTTGCTCTTACTAGTGTTAGCCTCCAACCCCGACCAATCCTTGAAAGTTCATAAAGCTTGCTTGATTAATACAATATAAATCGTGTCCTTATTACAAAAAATCATGAGATCATCTGCAAAGCAAATATGTATAATGTTTTTCGCACTACACCTTGGGTGGAATTTGAACCTAAGGTCCTTAGCCACTTTCCCAAGGATCCGAGAGAGATCTTCTATAACCATCACAAAAAGATACGGTGAGATTGGGTCCCCTTGCCTCAACCCTCTAGAGCTAGCAAAAAACTCCAAACTCCCCATTAATGGCAATAAAAAACATAGGCGTTTTAATGCAAATCTCAATCCAATGAACAATTTTAGGCGGGAAACCATGCCTGTTAAGGATTTCAATGATGAAGTCCCAATTCACCGATTCGTAAGCTTTCATCTAATCAATTTTCATGGCACATTTCTTACTCTTAGTTAATTTCCTCTTATAGTTGCGTACCAACTCTTGGCAAAACAAAAAAAATGTTATCATCAATCTTCCTACCTTTAACAAAAGCAACTTGGGCTCAATCAATAAAACCCGGAATGGCATCCTTGATTCTATTTGCAATGATCTTTGAGATGCATTTATAAATCGTGTTGCAACAAAAAATTGGTCTAAAGTCATGACAAGTGGATGGGTTCTCACATTTTGGCACGAGGGTTATAGTTGTACAATTAATTTCCTTTAGGATCTCCCCAAATCTAAAGAAACCTTAGATAGCCTCTATAACATCCTCTCCCACTATACTCCAAGCTCTTTTCAAAAAATAGGCACCATA